CAAACTCTGGTCATCAACTCTGGTTTTCAGTTGAAATTGGAATTGTTAATTTACACAATAATAGGATTGCATTGACGATTTTTTCTCAACTCGCAAAAACCTTCAAACAATTTGCTATCGATTGGTGATCAAATTTTTTGGAAATAATGACATAGAGGGGATAACGCCTTTTTTTCAGAGGTGATTTTTCAAAAATTTATTTTAAAAAAAGTACTAACTAGCAAATGTTTTTTATTAGCTCGCAATTTTCTTCAAAACTACTTCAATGAGGAAAAAAATAAAAATTTGGAATATCTNCTGTTATTGAAGTAACTAGGTGCACTTATTCAAAGAATCAACTCTTTGAGCTGCTCCCTCCTGTTTTCATCGCAAAAATAACTATTTCGATGGTTTAGTTGTTCCAGAGGACGATCCAGTACTAATCCTTGGACGACGTCGTCTATCGCCTGGTGACACATTAAGAGCTAATTGTACATCGGGAGCAGGTTCCCCCGCCCCGAATATCACGTGGACTATTAATGGTAGCCCGGTAAATATGAATTTAAAATTGGGCTGAACAAATTATCACTTGCTAGTTAAGTCATATCCTTTCTAAAAAAAAACATGGGCAATATCTCGAATGGAAAATGAGAACTCTAACATGGCGGATATCCCGAACGAATGGAGAAATTAAGGCGGTTTTCATGAGTACAACCGTCCTGCGTGGAATTTTCATGAAGCCCGCCTATCAAACAAAAGAGAATTGAATACAATTCTACGAAACATGAATAAACGAATCATAATTGTCCAAATCATTTAGTTCGGAGGAAAATAGAAGAATTCTACTTTCTTAATATTGCCTTTACTAAGGTTTCCTTCGAACAAAGTTGATTAGAATTCAGTAGCGAAGCGGTAAAGATTAATAAGTCAGTTTTTTTTTTATCGAAAGTGAGTTATTGATGGAAAACGATTCTATCTATTGTATTACATATCCTCTATAAACGATTTGCGTAAAACAAAAAAATTGACCATATTTTTATTCAAATGAAAAACGGAGTAAGTCCTGAATTTCATTTTCAACCATCATATCCTGCGAGTTAGGTCGACTCATTTCGGTATGAAAAAATTTTCGAGCGAAATAAATCGACTTATACCTTCATTCTCCTTTCATGGATACTTTTCATATTGATTTTATTGAAAGAAAGTTCTAAAGTCCACACCGTGTCCCCTGGCGGGAATTTTTACCACCTCTTCCTGAGAGAATCACCCGCGCGGAAAATTATATATGGGGAACATATATAAATAAATTTATGATGTCTATATGACACTTATATTAAATATATAGACGTATATATTCTACATATGAGTGTTATACAGCATTTTCCGCCGATTTCTATGCATAAAAAAACATATATTATGTATACGGCTATTATGCGATGTCCGTCACGAATCATGTGCAATTTTTCGCTCATTTTTCAGAGAAACGACTCATTGATTAGTCGAAGAGAGATCTTAGAAACGAATCACATGTGGGAAAGCACGTCGGACTTGGAATTGAAACTCTCTAGTGAGCATTTCCAAGATAGTCAACTTCGATTGCGTTGTTTCGTTTCTATAGATGGCGTCTATACTTCCACAGCGGAGACAGTAATTACCGAGGACAAGCCATTAATTGCCTCCATAACTGGTGATGCATCACCCCACAGTCACCGTAAGTTTGAGTCAATTTCTCAAATAAATTTACCATGGTATTGAGTAGGTACGAACGGGTCGGGTGGGGGTTTGTATCTACCAGTTTACGGTATTAATAATATATCCCTAGAATTATTTTATTTCTTACGAATAAAAGGCTTTTCTTACGAGCCTCCGGCTCGGCTGGTGGCACCTCCGCTTATGGGTCATCTCGTCTATCGCTCGGCTGCGCGTGTTCTACGACTGTCCCTAAAAACATTACCCCACTTTTTCACACTTGTAACGTAATATACTACTTTTTTACATTTCCTAGCATTAACGATGAACCGGCGATAACTGAATGTAGTAGGTGAGGCGGTGGAAAATCTCTTGTGTTCCCACAGAAAACTAATCCCTAAACAAAAAAATTTTGACCCTTTCAATTGAATATTTAGATCATATTTGAAGTTTTCTATGGTCCAATATTTTTTATCACTATCCAATTTTTTTCCTATGCCATGCCCGCATCCAAATATTTTTATATTCTATTTTAATAATAAATGGAAAGTAATTAATTTGTGAAAAAAGTGCTAACGTCGACTCCACATAATGCTTTGTTTCCAGGGGTTGGTAAGCCTGTCACGCTCTAGCGAGGAACTCGTGTAAATTTTTTCCATCGCGACTCGTTTATCCGAAAAATTCATAACCCATGTCGCTCTAATTTAATATCCATGAGAAAAATATTAGCAAATTAATTATAGTGCCTCTCTGTGAAGGAACCTCAGACAGAGATCATTTTGTATCCACAACTGTCTCTGAAACACTTTTGAATTTGCCGCGTTTATCCCCACTTGATCGCCATGTGCTACGCTGTCGCCGTTCACAGCTGCGCGCGCAGAAATTCTGATTTGTAGTGTTTTTTTTTTTTTTTTGCTGAAAAATGTTCTGAACCGACGTAATTTTTCTTGAAGAAGGTGTATTTATCAATATGTCACACGTGAACGAAGTTTCGTGACATTGGTTGCATTTTTACGTTCATGATGTGGATTTTTCTTCATTTGCCATAAGAACACGGTTTAAGTGGCCTTTTCTTAAATAATTTATTTCACTTGAACCGTTCTGTGCAGCCATCTGAAACTCCACACGGGGCTTCGGAATATATCGAAGAATGTACTTAAAAAATTTAATAAAATTGGCTGCATTTTTTACCTCGTCGGTTCATCGTTAAGTTCAAGACGGTTAAGAGTGCACCTATCAGAGAAAGTGTTAAGGCGAAACTGTGTAACATTTTATATTTTATATTTACTGTTTTTTCGCTGTAATATGAAACTTTGAATTTTGTCAATTGCAGCATAAACAATCTCTCTTCTTGTATTGTTCCAGGTGCTAACGGATGTGATGCAACATTCTGGATACCTCAATCTGGAGCGTACCTAAGGGGAAGAGAATTTTCCCTCGCAGTATCCATCCTCCTGCTCAGTGACTTATGCAGATAGCTCAAGTTCTGATTGAAAAATCACTGACATCGTCCATGTAAACCTAGTAGTCTAGGGCTTCCAGTTACAAATATATGAAGGGAATGATATGTATGGAGTAGATAGAGAATGATTTTCATTAAATAATTGAGTAAAACTGGTCATATGTATGACGACGAATTCTCATTGAATGATTCATTGAGACCGCAAGGGCGGCATAACGATACAATATGTTAGGAAACAAAGTGATAAAAACAGTTTACTTTCAAGCATGTTATCTTTTGATGTAAATTGTTGACAAAGCATTAATAAAGTAAGAAAACACGATGGTAAGTTATAATCAACGAAGGGTAATTCATGTGCATCAAATACACACATTCATTTTCACGGATCATACATCCAAAAACAGTCAGAGGGTCAGAGCGCATTTTGATTGTTCTTTGTATTATTCATCATTTTGCTTTTCTCGATGCTCTGCATTTATAGTTTCCCTTTATTTGGTTTAAACGCAGTTTTCGGGGTCAGAAACGTGGAGTTACAGCATTCACTTTCTGGAAAAGGATATACTTGAAGAATTTCATACAAGTTCTCCTGAAAGTCGTACAGTAAAGGTTCTCTTCAGTAATCTATACTTGGGAGATTTCGCAAAGTGCTTGAGCCACCAAATTTCGATCGTCTGTTATTGAGTACATTATAAAATGATTACCAAAATTGTGCATCGGTTTTCCAACTTCCGATGATGCAGATCTAAGAAATGAAACGGTCAAAGTGCTTGAGATTTTGATCATCGTTTGTTCATGCTCCCAATAAAAGACGATCCAAATTTGGTGAATCTTGCACCATGTCAAATTTTGCAGAAGTATATACTAGTAAAGAGGAACCTTAAGGTGTTTCGTGTGTAGACCGCAGGAGGGGTAAAACGGAAGGGGAATATTATTGTTCTCAAGCCCTGATTCAATCGCTAAGCACGAAATTTTCCAATTTTCAAGTAACTATTTAAGTGTGCATTTGAACATTTTTTGAATATTTATTTTATTGTTGTCTTTATCAATAACATATGAGAATAAAAAAACTCAATAACTTATGACAAAGAAATCAACTAAGTCATTTAGAGTTTTTTCCGGGAATCCATAGGGACTGACTTTTGGGTGGTATTGTCTTGGAATATACCTTAAGGGGTCTCATTAACTGTCTATACGTACGGGAAATTTCACAAACTGCCAGAGACACCAAATTTGGATTATCTGTTGTTTGATGCATTGGAAAACGATGGTCAAAATTACACGGACATTTACCGCTTTATTTTTAAAAAATGCATTGTCGGAAATTGAAAAAAAAAACGTTTTTTCACTTTCCGGTAATGCATATCTCGAAAATGCAGTGGTGAACATTCTTGAAGTTTTGATTATCGCGGCAGCTTTAACACCTATGTGTACACAGTATAGATTAGTAAAGATATTCCTCAAGTTACCTCCATGGGAAAATATCTAAAAAAAAATAATAATATAGGCCAATTTAGTATATTCTTTGGATATATATCAGATTTATATAAAATATATATGAAACATATATAAATTTATATTTTATATAACTTTTATGTATAAATCAGGCCAATTTCAAGCATAAAATATATAATTTACAGAATATATATTTTTCCGTATGGGTAAACATGAAACCCTTTCCCGCATGTATTGTTGCGTATCCCCCTTCGAATCCTTAAATAGTAAACCATCTGAAGGATGCCTGTGCAGCCTGTTGAGATACAACTGTCTTCTGACTCGATCATCATTCGATTCCCTGAAATTATCCTAACGAGCTCATCGATTGTATTCTGTCTGATTAATTAATAAACTGTCCGTCTACATTATTTTACTTGACGTAACAGTACTCATCAACTAAATTTTAAGGGTGTACGTCAGTAAAATTTATAAGTCCTCACTAGGCCTTGGGACCCATTGAACAGTTAGTCATATATGACGGAGTATGGGAATAGCTAGGGAAAATCGAAAACCCCATCGATTTTGCCCCGTGCAACCACGAAAAACTTCATTTTTTCCTGTTTTTACCCTCAAAATGCTCCTTGCGCCGTAGTTTTCATACAATTTTAGCTTTTTTCAAAATGTTCTTTACACTTTAAAGAATAAAGTTAAACACCCAGTTTAATTTATTCGCAATCGATTATGAAGACATGAATTTTGAATTTTATCAATTTTACTTTACTCTAAAGACGCGAAAAATTCATGAAATTCAAAATTCATTTATCCATGATCTATAACGAATAAAGTAAAACGGATGCTTAACGTTATTCTTTGCAGTGTAACAAACATTTTAAAAAAATCGTATAAACACTACGGCGCAAGGAGCATTTTGAAGGTAAAAACAGGAGAAATTAAGTTTACGGTCGTTATACGGGGAAAATTCCCTAGTTATTTCCATATTTCGTCATATATCACACACTGTTCAATGGATCCCAAGGCCCAGTGAAGTCTTTTAAGTTTCACCGACGTATTCCCTTAAGAAAATAATGTTTTTCTCACAAACCGCAAATTGAGAATTTCTTGAGAACCAAGCTGTTAAATTTCCCCCGTTATCCCATTATTATATGAAGAAGGGAATCCTATCCATCTGTCAGGTTGGCCACAGCAGGTCTCTACATTCACGCCGGATGGCAGCAGTTCCACTCAAGGAGGTAAGGCTAAGCGGACACCCATCCAAGTACGAAACAGACTGAACGCTGCTTAGTTTGAACAACTGTCGAAGCCACACGTACCCGTACGTTCATTACTGTCACTCAGAGTGTAGTTTTTTTTTACAGAAAACCCCGTACCCATCAGCCTAAACCGTCTTGAAAAATTATTTATTGAGGGAATTTTGCAGAATTAATGATTAAGCCACTAGCGCCAATAAGGGACGACTCACGTAAAGTTCCGTGGCGTTTCATGGCTTATTGATATGAAAGACTTAATATGAACAACAATGCAACAAAATTATTGCGCGTAAGAGTGGGTAGAAGGGATTCACTGATATGCGACAACCCCGCGTTACTAAAACGTACAGATATGAGTGGTAGCAGCTGAATGACTATTTTGCCGTCGAATGCGGATGGATATCCATGCAAAATCGGGAGATTGAGTTCCGCAATGCTTTTTTCCACCAGCAGCAGAGTTGGGTTAAAAATTGGTTAAAATTGTGGTGGGAGGTGAGGTTGAATGTTATATCGATGAAAACATGGAAAACATCACATTCATATCGGTTCAAACCTAATTTTAGCCGATGTTTCACTCAACTCTTTCTCATCACGTCTGTAAAATGTCGTTTTATGGATACTTCGTATCCGTCATACGCTGTGTGCGCACATTATGAAGAAAAATTATGGTCGTCACTCGGCCGAAAAAAACTTTTCTGACGAGACTAAGGGTTGCAGGCCGAGGGGAAGCCGAAAAATGCAATATCATACTGGTCAAAATTTTTTTTTCGGCCTGGTGAAAAAATAGGTATTTATATTCAGCTCCCAGGTGAAAAAGGCTCTGGTGTTCTTGGAAGAGGCAGAACATAGCTGCCGTCGCCGCAGGTGGACATGCACAAATAAAAAAAAAACCTACTTTGGCAGTGCTACCAAATCGTGGTGTCACCCCATTTAAAATTGTACAGGTTTTGGCTATAAATCGCCAAAATCTGGCAACCCTGCTCATTGGATGGAAAAATAAATCTCACAAATTGCTGATGCATCAAAAATCATGTAAAAATTGATAGTAAAAGACTAGATAAATAAGCAAAAGAAGGTAAGACTTAAATGAAGAAAAACAACTCAAAGAGTTCGAGAATGAATCCTTGAGCATCACTGACTCAAACTTTTTGTGATTCTGAATATAAAAACTTGGATGCATTAACTGGGCGTTAGCTGAAGATTTATTTAACTAAGCATGCTACAAGTAGCCCTAAAAGAGATTTTTGCATTTTTTCCCAATCAAAATCATTACAACGTTCAATTTTCAATATTTGTATTGAAACGTATCCAAGAATTCACGAAATTGTTGTTGGTACTTGGGCCGTGGCGTCATCTGTGGACGGAGCTGTGCACCCGACTCACACTGAGCGAGCCAACGCCCCAACGACAGGCCGGGAGGACTAACTATAGTTATACTGGAGCAGACGCTAGGGATCAGAAATCGCGCCGAAAGAGAGAGTGGAAAGTGGTGCATTCATCCTTTTCTTGACTATCTGAGACATGGGGATCTATAGTATGATCGGCCGATTCAAGGTCAATCAGAAGAAACGAACATACACAGGGTGTCCCAAAATGGATCTGAGATATCGTGAGGGTAGCTCGAGGGGGGCGGGGGTGGGGGTTGGGGGCGAGAACCTAATGAAATTCTTATCTCCGACGCTTTGTTTATGAGTTATCAAGAAAAAAAGGACAACCAATCAAACATTATTCCCCGATGAAGAGAATATCTCCTTTCCCACTGAAGGTGGAGGGATGATAGCATTGAATGTCCAATCGATTTCAATTAATTTCATTCCTCGATATTGAATGAGAGTGCAGACATTAATTTTCTATAGTCTTTGATTTTCAGGGTCACATTACAGTTAGGAACCAAATGACTGATGATGCGTAGAAATTCATTACGGGTATTCTCATCCGGGCCTGATTATAGAAGAATTTTTTTTTTTCAGATCATGTGCATTAATGGCCAATCCATTCCCATCATTTCCATTTCTGCAGCCGAAATGAGAATGATGGAGATATGAATTATTCATAAAAAGAGTTATTTTCGATGGATTTGGGCTTTGTTGAGGAATAACTCCTTAACAAAGCGCCGAAGACAAAAATTTCATTCGTTTTCGTCTCAAAACAGCCCCAAGCTACCGTCACGGTACATCAGATCAATTTTGGGACACCCTGTATAAGGTTTACATAAGTGAAAAAAAGACAAGGCTACCATTTCACACCGTCTCGCTCGGCTCGATTTCTTCACTATAGAAGTATATATGACAAGCGCCCATTTCAGTAGACCTATAGTTCACTGCGCGGGAGCAGCCTAAAACGACGCCAAGCGGCCATCCCAGATACACATCGAGAAAGGGTAATCACCGGATTACCAATTTGGGAATCACGCTCAAGAGTGCTCAAGAGTGAGCAGAAGATCAAAATACATTTTGACAACTTTGAATTTATTAATTTTAGTTGAAAACTAATTTATTAATGAAGCAGTGTTATTCACTTTACTTTCCGATCTTTTCATCATGCAAGTTAAGATGAGTTTCACAACATGCTGATAATCTATCGAACCATATAATGACACCAAATTTTGATCATTTGGTGATGGGTGCATTAAAAAATGACATCCAAAGTTTTAAAAACTTCAGCCGCTTCATTTTCAAGATGTCTATCATCGTAAATTGAAAAATCTTGATTGGTGAATGTTGGTCGATGCACATCTCGAAAATGAAGCGGTTGAAGTCCTTGAAATTTAGTTGGGAGAAGCATCAATTTTTTCAAAAACAAATTTCTCCAGTCGAGTCATGTCCAATCGAGCCTGATTAGGTTTTAATTATGATAATTACCTTGCTCTGAGTACTTTGGAAGATTATGTTGCACATGACCTTGGATGAACTCCCCCCAATGATTATTCATTTTTCCTGAATTTTTTATTTTTTGAAGGGAGGAATTTCGATTAATCTTTTAATGATGATAATTATTGAAGGATTTCACGCAAGGGCATAACTATCATGATCATCTTCTAGAGCAATTTAATTTTCATAATTGAACCCCAATTAGAATTTCTCGGGGCTGAATCGACTGGAAAAATATGGCGTTGAAAAAATAAATACGTCTCTCGAGTGAGTGGATGTTGGGGCAAAAATAATTTCTTTTTCTCAGTGTGGAAACGTAAATTTGAGCAATTACAAAGCTTCCATGAGGAAACAAAATTAATGAAATTGAGTGTACAACAATTTATCTTGCCGACTGCTCTCGAGTTATCGACGATGAACCTCGATGGTAATGTACCATCTGCCACTCCAGCATCGGTATGTCAGAAATTCTACATCCGTTCATTCGCTGCACGCCGACTCCCAGCCATGCAGACTAGCGCGGAAACCTTGAAAAAAAAATCAAGAAATTTATGAAATCAAAATAACCCAAAAAAAAGTTCCCACTAGACTTGAAAAATTCAATTGACTTCAAATTTCCCTAAAATAAAAAACTTCAGAACGAATCTTCAATTTTATTCATTAACTCTTCATCAATTATTATTCATGGATATTTCAGACTCAAAGCCAAAACCTCAAGTATTTCCTAAAAATGAAAAATATCTAAACCCAATGTTTCATGAAAAAAAATCCATGATAGCTAAAATAAATCTCTTTAGTCATAAATTTAATTACCGTTAAATTTTGAAGTAGTCAATTTGTCAATATCACTCCTAAATTTTTAATTATTGAAGTAATCATCAATTTAAATATTCAAATTCCGATTTTTTTTATTAATCGATAATTTAGTTAAAAGAAGAAATTGACGATTATTTATTTTAATTGAAAATCCCTTTTACGTAATTAATATTATTCATTCAATAGAAAATTTACAGTTCCATATTATCAATTATTTCACTATTTTTAATTTTTAATGAGTATATTTAAACCTCAAAAAAAATATTTTTTGTAGGTTTAAATACATAAAAATATAAATATTAAAAAAATAAACCTTGAATAAATAAATTTGAAATATTAAAGAATTCTATGATTGGTGGGGATTCCTGATCTCTCTATTTTTCCACGATTAAAAAAAAAATCGCGTTATCGAGGTGAACTATTGCCCACACCGTTGCAGTAGAACCCCAATCGTTCTCTTCCTCATCCCTTTCCCCTCTCGGTGTGCCACCGAGAGCCAACAGTGCTAGAGTTCACCTCCACGTTTCGTCACTTGACAGGTAAAAAAAAGTCCCAATTCCCCACGAACCCATTGAAATATCTCTCAGAAAATAGCGATAAACTGGGCAGAGCCAAGAGCACCGAAAAAACATTGGCATAAAGTATCGACATATGTTGAGAGCATGCTTAGTGCTCGAACAAATAGGTTAGGAGTACCATCTGTGCGCCTTCCTCTCACTCGAGGTCCACCCAGAGATTGCGTTGGGCATTGAATAATTACAGTTCTGCATTATTCTCGTTGCAGTGGAGGCCTAGCCCAGTAGAAGTGTCACGATGCCGCCCAAAAGGTCAATGGAGGAGACGGATCGGTTGACGCGTATCGCAATCGTCAATTCCGACAAGTGTAAACCAAAAAGATGCAGACAGGAGTGCAAACGCTCGTGCCCAGTTGTTAGAATGGGAAAACTCTGCATTGAAGTCACTCCAAACAGCAAAATAGCCTCCATATCCGAAGAATTGTGCATTGGATGTGGTATTTGTGTTAAGGTAAGCTAATTAATCACGAATTCAGGAGCGAAACTGTAAAATGGTTCAAGTCAATTTTGACTATTGCCCAGTTTTCACTGAATATCTCGAAATGTAAGGGAGATGGCAGAATTTTTGGCAGAACCTTTTTTGTAGCCCTCAATTCGCTCTTCAAAAAAGGTCATGAGGAAAATTGAGTTATTCCGCTTAGATTCGGAGATATTCCTGGAAAATTCTGCAAAGGGCTGAATTGAGTTGAACTGTTTTGCTGAATTATTTTCTAATTTATGAGAATATTCATTTTGATAGGGGGTAGAGTGATGACGTGAGTCTGAGGGCTGTTTGCAGATATATTTGTGGATATTTTTAGAGAGAGAGGAGTTTTTCCATGGAATTTTTCCTGAGGACAGTTAAATTTTTCACTAGTCCAGTCCTGGGGTTTTTGTCTAGAGCTGGTGGTTTAGGATATATTTATAAAATACTCTTGGCGTATGATTTGATTTGATTAACATTAATTCACGATTTAAATTTCTGCAGAAATCTTGTTCCAATCGTTTCTGAGGTATTTGAAAATTAAATTTCATTCTGAATTTTCTATTTTTGATTTTTCAGGAACTGATTGGTTAGGAATGATTATCTTATAAGGTTTAGAATTAGAAATCTCATGTTTCATATTCATTTTAATAGGGGGTAGAGCAACAAAATGGACCTGAAGCCCATTTACAGAGAAATTACGACATATTAAACATATTAAAGATATGAGAGAATGAATTTGGGATAATTTGTCATGGGATATATTCATAAAATACTCTTGGCGTATAATTTGATTTGATTAACATTAATTCACGATTTAAATTTCTGCAAAAATGCGGTTCCAATCGTTTTTTAAGTATTCAAAAATTAAATTTTATTCTGAATTTTCTATTTTTGATTTTTCAGGAACTGATTGGTTAGGAATGATTATCTTATAAGGTTTAGAATTAGAAATCTCATGTTTCATATTCATTTTAATAGGGGGTAGAGCAAGAAAATGGACCTGAAGCCCATTTACAGACAAATTACGAAATATTAAACATATTAAAAATAGGAGAGAATGAATTTGGAATAATTTGTCATGGGATATATTCATAAAATCCTCTTGGCGTATAATTTGATTTGCTTAACATTAATTCACGATTTTAATTTCTGCAAAAATCCTATTCCAATTGTTTCTGATGTATTAAAATATCTTTAAAAAGGCATAAATTTGGGAACATTTTCCATGATCTTCCCTGAGGACAATGAAACATCCCACAAATACAGTCCTGGTTTTTGTCTATAGCCAGATGTTCAGAATATAATTACAAAATATCTACAAATCACTATTAATTCACGATTTAAATTTCTGCAAACGAAAATCCTCTTCCAATCCTTTCTGAACGTATTCAAAAATTGAATTTCATTCTGACTTTTCTATTTTCGATACTTTGCGAACAGATTGGGGCTGATCATCTCATAAGCTTCAGAATATCCACCGAATTCGCAAGAATTTTCTCCGAAATTATGTCACCCATCACTCCTTCACCCTCGCAGACCCCCAACTAACTCGCCCTCTGCTCCCCAGAAATGTCCCTTCGAGGCGATATCGATAATAAACCTACCCAGCAACTTGGAGAAGGAGACAACCCACAGATACTCCAAGAACTCCTTCAAGCTCCACCGCCTCCCCATCCCTCGCCCCGGCGAGGTCCTAGGTCTAGTAGGCACCAACGGAATTGGCAAATCGACAGCTCTGAAAATTCTCGCTGGTAAACAGAAGCCAAATCTGGGTCGTTTCTCCGACCCCCCCGACTGGACCGAGATTCTGAGCCACTTTCGAGGCTCCGAGCTCCAAAACTACTTCACAAAAATCCTCGAGGACGACCTGAAAGCCCTCATCAAGCCCCAGTACGTCGACCAAATACCCAAGGCAGTGAAGGGAACAGTTCAGCAGCTTCTCGACAAAAAAGACGAGTGCGACAAGCAGCAGGAGATCTGCAAAATGCTAGACCTCACCCACATTCGTGATCGCGAGATTCAGGCCCTGTCCGGGGGTGAACTCCAGCGATTTGCCTGCGCAATGGTGTGCATTCAGGACGGCGACATCTTCATGTTCGACGAGCCCTCATCCTACCTGGACGTCAAGCAACGTCTGAACGCTGCTGTGACGATAAGATCCCTGATCCACCCTGACAAATTCATAATCGTCGTTGAGCACGACTTGTCAGTCCTGGATTACCTCTCAGACTTCATCTGCTGTCTCTACGGTGTGCCTGGTGCATATGGAGTGGTCACTATGCCCTTCTCAGTTCGGGAGGGCATCAACATCTTCCTGGATGGCTTTGTGCCAACCGAGAATCTTCGTTTCAGGGAGGAATCTCTCGTCTTCAAAGTGTCTGAGAGCTGCACGGAGGAGGAGGTGAAACGAATGAATCATTATGAGTATCCGGCAATGACCAAGACCATGGGATCCTTCAGTCTCAATGTGGAGAAGGGACAGTTCACTGATTCCGAGATACTTGTGCTGCTTGGGGAGAATGGCACTGGCAAAACTACCTTCATCAGAATGCTCGCTGGTAATCTGCCACCGGACGAGGGCTCTGGAAACATTCCCATGCTGCATATCAGCTACAAACCACAGAAGATCAGCCCCAAGAGTCAAGGAATTGTCAGGCAACTGCTGCACGAGAAGATTCGTGATGCCTATGTTCATCCTCAATTCATTACTGATGTCATGAAACCGTTGAAGATCGATGATATCATGGATCAGGAGGTGCAGAATCTCTCCGGGGGAGAGTTGCAGAGGGTTGCTATGGCACTTTGTCTCGGGAAACCTGCGGATGTCTATCTGATTGACGAACCCTCGGCTTATCTGGATTCTGAACAACGTTTGGTAGCTGCCAAGGTTATCAAACGGTTTATTCTGCACGCGAAGAAGACTGGGTTTGTGGTCGAGCACGACTTCATCATGGCGACGTATCTCGCGGATAGGGTCATTGTTTTCTCGGGGGAGCCATCGTTGAAGACCACTGCACACACCCCTCAGTCGTTGCTGAATGGGATGAATCGGTTCTTGGAACTGCTGGGGATCACTTTCAGGCGGGATCCTAATAACTTCAGACCGAGGATTAATAAGAGCCAGTCGGTGAAGGTAATGGATGGGTTATTCTATTGTTCGTTGGTTTTGTTGTTGCTTTCGAATGGAAGATTTGTGATCGCTCCAATTTAAGTTTTCAATTTTTTGGGTTGGGGGTATTAAATGTGATCTTAATGTCAGAATATGCGATTTTTGATTATGTCTGTGTGTATGGATGTACACTGGCAGAATATTCATCTTCATCTTTCAAAATTTCATGGAAAATATGGTAGTGATTCTCACGAGAGAGACATTTTTAGGTGGAATTTAAGGAAATTCATGACTTTTCTGTGGCTGTGAGATGGAAATTTCACAACTTGGGTGAAGTTTCTATGGAACATGAAAATTCAGAAACAAAATGACATGAATTGTCAATTTTCCCGATTCTTCCGAATTTTTATGGAATAATTGAACTGAAAAATCGAGTGTTTTATTAATTTTCTGTTCCAATTGTCAGAAACTGAATTAAATTCTCGATTTGGGACCATTGGGATTTGATTTTCTGACAATTCGAACAGAAAATCGATGGGCTATCTGATTTTTCGATGAAAAAATTTTCTGACATTTCACTAAAAATTAAACATGATAAAAATTTCCGATATTTAACATGGAAAATTCAAACGACAATTTTTAACAGTGTAGGTGGTCTTTTAATTTTTTTTTTCAAATTTTCTTACAAGAGAGTCATCGAATTTCATGAATTCTTTCGTTTTACCTTTTTACAACTCTGACTTTGATTTTTTTTTCGACATTTAATTAATATCTTTGCTTCTTTCCGCAGGATTTGGATCAAAAACGAGCCGGGCAGTACTTCTTCCTGGAGGAGTAATGGGTGAAACATTCGAGAACTTTGCATTTTACCTCGGCGGTGCTGCAAATCAATCAAGTAAAAAACTCATCAACTGCTGCCAACTTACAATTGATCGAATGAGTAAAACGTCTATGGATATATACGAATAATGGAGAAGGATGTGTAATAAAAATTGTCAAACAGGATAAATAACCTCAGTGAATGAATTCGAATAATTTTCATCTGTGTTATTATTCAGGTTTGAGATCGATCCTCTATTCTGATTGAAAATGTAAATTTTTTTAGAATATTTTGTACGAATATTTTAACCAACACAGATCGTTTATTTCTCTCAATATCATTGGCAGTTTCTCCAAGTTGGCTGTTATACATCTATAACAATAAAGTGAAAGATTTCTCATGGACAATTGTTGGACTTATTGATCGAGTTATTTGTATTTTTTTCATATAACAAAAATTATTCAACAACGATTTAACACTTAAGGTAACGGCATCGATAATTCGGTCTATCGAGAATGACGAAAAATTGAAGTTTTGAAAAAATTTAATTGTTATTCATCTCCATAGTTTGTACAATAAACTGCACTGGATTACTGTCAATTCGCAAACAAATACGAAACAAATATATTAATAAAATATTTCGAAACGTACGTTAAGCAACGTCAGATAACCAAAAATGAATAATTCCAAATTCAAACAAATGTAATGACTGACAGTCACAGGTTCATCAGCCACCCATGAACTAATATTTCATTTGAGATTTCATGTTGAGAACTCCAAACACATTGCTAAGTTCATAAAGCATTCAATATCGACAGATTGGTATTTGTCATTCCCTCCAGTCATGAACTATAATTATAGAATATTTCATTAATTTATTTCTGTTTTGTACTTGTTTACGAATTGACAATAATCTAGTGCAGTTTATTGTTTTCTCACATTTTTTTCGTCACTATATCACGTATGTGGTAACTAAAATTAAAGTTAATTCATCAAAAATCCTGGTAAGGGGACTATTTTAAAAATTTTATACCTGTAAAGCCACATGTCGTCAATGAAAAAAATTAAAACTCGATTTTACCTCATTTTCTGATTATAAAAAATGAGTACTAAGATCATCAGCATGGCAGGGGCATCTCCTTAAATAATTCCTATTGAAAAAAACGCACCGAAAAGTTTCGAAATTTACCAATAAAATCGGTAAAAATTGATAGAATTGTTTCGCGAACGCGTTAACTTCACGCACAAGAAAATTTAATACAAAAACCTATCGAATTCGTTAGAGAATTCTATTGAATTTCTCTTAAACTTTCTACCAGTTTTTGGTTGATTCTATTGACATGTCCAAAGAACACATTCAATAGAAAAAGTCAACAGAATTCGATTTTTCTATATAACTTATTCTTTTCATATATTTTCAATAGAATTTGCTCGACTCAAATTTTCCAAGTTTTTTTCATTCTATTTTTCTTTTCTTCTCATCAAGAAAAGCGAAAAAACTTGGAAAATTTGAGCCGAGGAAATTCTATAGAAAATATCTCAATCGAATAAGTAATATAGAAAAATTGAATTCTATTGACTTTTTCTACTGAATATTTTCTACTGAACATTTCAGTAGAATCGGCCAAAAACTAAAAGAACAGTTCAATAGAAATTCAATAAAATTTTCTAACGAATTCGATAGGTTTTTCTATTAAATTTTTTCGTCCGTGTTTTCCTGAGAAATTTTCTCGTGCATCTAGAATCACCGAATCATCACTCATCCGCATACCGCCACCTTAATCTTAGTCTCGGGGGATTCCTTACATTAGCACATTAAATTATCTCTGTACTCATAAATAATCTTCAAAGACAATTAATATTCCTCATTCATCTAAACAATGAGATGCGATACATCGACTGTGTAGGCAGCTGGGGAGAGTCGCATGGACTCGTCCTGTCGAGAAGAGGAACGTTGTCTGATGTCACTGTCCCCTGGCCAAGCCCTTCCAGGGCTCCTCGGTGGTAGTCCTGACCTTGCGACTGCATCAACAGCTAGACTAACAGTGGCCGGATCGTTCAGGCCATTCTGAATCCTCCGTTGGGCTGCTGGCATCGAGGCCCTCACAGTCTTTCGTCTCTCTATTGCGCCGCGCCATTTCTCAGCTGCATGCCTCGCCAGCTCCAACCGTTTTTGCTTCTTTATCTGGTGCTTTTTGTATATCATCTCGATTATTATTAAACCAATGCCACCGATTATGCCTACACCCACTAGTATGAAAACTCCTGCCATGTTCTTCAGGCCCAAGGTGTTCGGGGCCTTTTCGAATTGCTCACATTGCTGAAGGTTTCGTTGGAGGATCCAGTTCTTATCGAGAGTTTCCATGAATCCACCTGAGGAATTGATGAGGTTTTTATTGATGCCGGAATTGGGGAAAATTCGACGTTATGACGCGTGACAAAAATTCGTAGAAAAATTTGGAGAATTCGCTAGATAATCCTATCGGGTTTCTGTTGAACCTTTTTTTAGCTTCTGATCGATTTTAATGAAATGTTCAGTAGAAAATATTCTGTAGAAAAAATCAATATAGTTCGATTTTTCGATACAGCTTATGATATTGAGAATTTTTTAATAGAATTTTCTCGGCTCAAATTTTCTAAGGACATTTGTTTGATTTCCTTGAGCCGAGGAAATTCTGGTGAGATATTTTCTCCATAAAATTACTTGGTTACTTATTCTGTTGAAATATTTTCTATAGAATTTCCTCGGCTCAAATTTTCTAAGGACATTTGTTTGATTTCCTTGAGCCGAGGAAATTCTGGTGAGATATTTTCTCCATAAAATTACTTGATTACTTATTCTGTTGAAATATTTTCTATAGAATTTCCTCGGCTCAAATTTTCTAAGGACATTTGCTTGATTTTCTTGAGCCGAGGAAATTCTATAGAAAATATCTCAATAGAATAAGTTGCATAGATTGGACATTGCAATAGAATGGGCCAAAAATGAAAAGAAAAGTTCAACAGAAATCCAATAAAATTGTCCAGTGAATTATTTATTCATTTATTCATTTCGCAAAGTGTTGCTGGGAATTCACTAGGTTTTTCTATTAGATTCTTTCGTGCGTGATATATATAAAGAAATTTTATACAAAAACCTAGTAAGTTTGTCAAAAAGTTGTTTCTACGGATTTTCATTGAACTTTTACCGAACATTCTATTAGTTTTTCGGTAATTCTATTGGAAAATCACACTAATTTTCTGCGGATTTTTGTCAGTAGGAAGCTTCAGCTGAAAATATTTTATGCGAAAATAAATAGAATTGGATTTTTCTGTAAAACTTATTCTATAATAATGAGGTATTTTCTATAGAAATCCCTTGGTTCAAATTTCTTAGTTTTTTATCCCATTTTTTCTTTTTATTAAGAAAATCAAAGCAAAAAACTTGGAAAATTCGAGCCGAGAAAATTCTATAGAAAATATCTCAAAATAGAATGAGTTGTATAAAAAAATCAAAATCTGTTGACTTTTCTATTGAACATTTCAATAGAATCAGCCAAAAACTAATAAAAAGTTCAACACAAATTCAATAGAATTGTCTGGCAAATTCGCTAAGTTTTTCTCTTTTATTTGTCCATCGGCGTACTTTCGATGAAAATTGATCGACAGATTATACTTATTTATTCCAATATTGACTGAGGATATTCGCTAGGTGCAACCGGACCTTGGAAGGAATAAAAAAATTTCTTACTTTCGTGAAAATCCAAAATGGCAAGGGTAACAGCATCAGCCCAGGGCGAGCCTTTCTGCAATCCTATCCCATATCCAGACCTTCCAAATAGCTCCCCAGCAGTGACTAGCTCGCAGTCCTTAGCTGCTTCAAATTCAAGCCTCGAGCTGTCCCAGATAAATGCCATCAACTTGCCAATCTTCACGTCCTGTATCGCGTCCTCAGCCGTGTCGTAATTATTTGCCTCCATCGTCCGATACATGTTGGATAATTCCACTTGTCTCCTGAAGTACATGTCAACGGCTGAACCCTTTACCGTTGCACAGGTCAGGTTTTCCATGGTATTTCGCAGCTGCAGTAATTTTTTATTATTCGAGATATCTCCCAAAGCAGAAATTCTTCGATGAAATCGTGAGTGAATGCATCGAAGAACTATCAGAACTAGAATAATCTAGTGCATTCGGTAAAATATTCTATTACTTGATCGTTAATTCTGTTGGAAATTCTACTAATTTTCTGTGCGTTTTTTCAATAGAACAGGGAACCTGCACGCACTGATAAAAAAATTGCTTTTGCCAAGGAATTATTTTCTTGGGAGAAGAATTTATTTTTTGGGGAAAGTATTTCTCCAGGCCAGTCATTCCCAGACGGTCCAAGTACACCTCCAAACATTACAATTATGTTGAATTGGGATCATTATGCTCCATATGACCTTGAATCAACTCCACTGACAATTACCAATATTTTGAATTATTCGAAATTATCTTTCGTAAGAAAATAGCAAATTTAAAAAAATTGAAAAATAATGACGGGTGTTCATTCAAGCTCATACGTAATCATCTTCTCATAATCATCTTAAAATTCAACATGATTGTAATATTTGGAGATGCACATGGACCACCTGGGAATGACTGGCCCGGAGAAATTGGCTCGTAAAAAACTAAATTCTTCTGCCAAAAAAATGATTCCTTGGCGAAAGTAATTTTTTTTCTCAGTGTGAAGCTTAATTCTTTCTAATTTCCCTGTTCACGAATTCCTCGTAACATAGGAATAGCTAAACAGCCGAAAATTATGGAAAAATATTGCCTAGATGTCTTATGATAATTAATTGAAAATCAGTGGTTTTCGAGGCCAATTTTTCGGTCATGCCGTCTCGAAGGCGGTCAGGTAACGCTTCATTGGTTAAAAAAGAAGAGAGTGGGGAGTTGCTGTCCTCCATTGGCCGAGGCGCACCTCGAGATTGGGTTAGGTCGGCTCGAGCCATTTTGTAATTGGTCCAGCGCTCGACCGTCTGTATGGCGTCATTAGCGATTTCAAAGCGCTTGAAATCTTCAACTTTTAACAATTAATTTTTGATTAATGATCAACACTTCAAACGTTTGTGAATGAAAAATGAATTATTTAGGTCTCAGTCTTGAGATTAGAAAATTGAAAAAAATTAATGCCAATTCCCTATTGTCCAATAGAATATTTAATTGGTGTCAATGAATAGAGTTTATTAAAGTTTACATTCATCAAAAAAATCATGAAATTTTGATTGATTTCGTATGAGAAAATTTCGAAACAAAAAATGTAGAAAAAAACCATCTCTAGTTATTTAATTATTTATTCATTTATCCTAATACAAAAACGTGTAAACCCGAATCGGTGAAAAACTAATCGAATTGCCAACAGAATTCAATAGAATTTCCTAGCGAATGCATCACCGTTTTCTGTAAAATGTTTTTTTTTGCGTATGGATATACCACTGAATGAGAATAGTAAATTAACGATGTTAGGACTCGAAATCTAAGCATGAACGAAAAATGATAATATAAAAAAGTTCATGATAATAACGACTACTGATGCACAATAATTTGCGCATTGATTAACTGACCCTTGCGTCATTAATTCCTGAGAGTTTTGTCTTCGGTCTTTCCAACACGAGGAAAGCAGCCAAGTTGGCAGTGTACGATGCAACAATTATCATCGCAAATCCAGCCCAGACCATGCCAAGAACTCTTGCTGAGAAGCTTCTTGGTGTACCTTTAATTATAATCATTCCCATAATTTTAATAATCGAGAATTCGGCCTCAAGTAAATTTGGACAGTTCATTCCCAAACCTTTTGTTTCCACACTTGAAAATTGGCGACTAATTTCTCTATCACATTATTCAACTTCATAAACTTTATAACGTGAGAATTTTGAAAGATCATTTCTCAATTTTAGTCTCCAATCAAAAAATAATAAAAGCGGACATTTTTTAATTAATAAAAAAAATCATTTCCAATGAATGAATAAATACCAATAAATGACTGAATAAAAAATAATGTGTATAAATAATACATAAAAAATTAGGGAATAGAAATCGATAAAAACCTTCTCCAATTCCACTATTGAGTAAAACGCCCCAAGCAAACCAAATAGCGCTGGAGAGATTGAGTGCGTCCTCCTCGGTGCTGTCAGTGTTAGCCAGCCTGAACCTCCCGAATGGTGAGAACCGGTCAAGGAGGTACAGGACAAGCGCCACCACGTGCACCGACACCATCACCAGGAACCAGAGAGTGTTGCTGAATGGTTGAAGGAAAGATACCAATGTTGATGACCTAGAAGGCTGGAAAAAACATTCATCGTACTTATTTTGGAGACTAATGCAATTGTTTACATCGCTCATTTAATATTGCTGAGAATCGTGTACCAATATTTAGTTATGTGTTGCGAACTTTAAATGTTAACAGCATTTTATTATCCCACACATTGTAATGAAGATAGGACTGAGTGCTCATTTGTTTTGAAATTCAATTAATCTCCAATTAAGTCCTTGATCATAGAGGTATATCTCTCTATAATATGAATTTCCAAATTAACTTCTGGTGATGGAAATTTGGAAGTCAAAATTAAAACTTCAAGATTGGAGGCCATAAGGGTCAAAATAACCCTCATGAGGGTCGAAATAAGGGTCATGAGGATCAAAATAAAAGGCATGAGGGTCAAAATAAGGGTCGCAAGGGTCAAAATAACCCTCATGAGGGTCAAAATAAAAGTCATGAGGGTCAAAATAAGGGTCACAAAGGTCAGAATAAGGGTTAAGAGGGTCAGAATAAGGTTCACAAGGATCACATTAAGGGTCACAAGTTTCAGGGTCATCAAGGTCAGATTAAGGATCTAAATAAGGGTAACAAGGATCAGATTGAAGGTCACAAGGGTGCGAATAAGGGCCTAAATAAGGGTTGTGATGGTCAAAAATTCAGGGTCAGAAAGTAAGGGTCACGAGGGTTAGATTAAGAATTAAGAATCCAAATAAGGGTCATAAGGGTCAGATTAACGATCACAAAGGTCAGATTAAGGGCCGAAATAAGGGTCATAGGGATCAGTCACTAAGGACTAAAATAAGGGTCTCTGTACCTTTCTGTATTATAAAAATCCAAGTTGACTTCTGGTGATAAAAATTTAGTACTCGAAATTAAGACTCCAAAATTAAGGGTCAAAATAAGGGTTACGAGGGTCAGATTGAGGGTCACCAGGGTCAGAATAAGGATCATGGGGGTCATATGTAGGCCATATGGGAGTTGGCGAGCCTAGTATTTCCAATAATTGCTAAAATATCTCAACTCCGCTCCCAATTAATTCTAGCCCCTTCATAAATTCAGTTCATACTTTTTTTTCTAAGATGGTGATGCCCTGGTACTTGAAGGGTTTACTGAACTCAATAAACTCCGCTCGTTCTGGACTTATGGTCAAAGGAGCGACGATCATATCCGCTCGTTCGTTCACCAGCTCGCCTATCAAGCCCGTCCACTCCTTCTTTCCACCTGCTGAAGGTAAAGTGATTCATAAATTTTCCTCAATTCAGACTTGTTTTTATTTTGAGGTCTTGTCTCCCTTTTAGGTGAATTGGTGAACTTACCGCTGCTATCTTTTATCATATAACTTCCAAACTGCCCGTCTGGAGACAACGCCAGATTGTAAGTGAAGTTGATGGTCTTCGAGAGTTCTTTCAGGAGATCTATGCAGTAGCCTTTGCAGCAGTAGAGGCGTGTTACTGAAAAAGTTGATACAATATTTCAAGGCGTAAATAACAAAACGCAGAAGTTCGTGAAAGAAGCTAGCACATTCGCTAGAAAATTCTAGTACTTTCTTTTAATTCTATTGAAGAATTCCGCAGCTTTGAAAACAGATCGTTTGAAAACAGATGTTTAATTCATATTTTAAAATTAATAATGTTGGTCATTCACAAAGTCAAATAACGTTTCCGAAAGTTTAAAGAATTTCAATTATTTATTTATAAGTAACGGATGGTTACAAAAATAATAATTCTGTGTAAGCTGTAAAAAAATTTTTTTTCACTCAATTAAATAGAAAAATTTGATGATTAAAAATAGTTGAATCTATAGTGGCGTCTGTGGCAAACTGTAAGATACTTGGATATCCTTAATTAATTGACCACTGAATTTTATAAAAATAAAATTACCATCGTGTTCTGAAGTATTGAAATGAGGACACGGGATCTCATCGGGAAGGCAATCTGCACTGTCAGTGGCTCGAACGTAAACGAATGGTTTCTCTTCAATCGTGAGGACTTTGAGATGTGTCGGGATCATAAAACCCTCGGGCTTGGTTTTCAGACGGCCCGGCCAGGTTATTGTTGTCTCGTTCACACTGAGTCTCATCCTCAGAGTCTCCTAAAATCATGATTATTGAATTGATCATTTTTGTGCACAACTACACCCATTATTTTTGTGAGCGTTTTCAATAAATATGTGCACAATTTAAATTGACTCCTCATGTGCAAAAAAAATGTATACAACTTTTTTTTTCAATTAATTTGCATGCATAATATTTGCGCAAATTATTTATCATTTTTCAAAGTGGATGATTTTTTGGACTCCATTCATCTCATGTGCACGCAACAGAGTAACACTGTGTACAACTTGAGATTTCAATAATTTGTGATTGAATTATTTGATTTGTATGAATCATTCCCTGTCCACCAAGGTCTCTCTTCAAGTGAACCAATTAGTTTTTATTTTCATTCCTTGAAGTGAATTATAATTAATAATTACTTACTGATGAATAGAAATATTGACCCACAGAAACTCGCTCGCCATGTTCTCGTATATTAATTATATCATATTCAGCATAAATTCGATCTCCATTGTCGTCAAAAGCGACACGACCAGTCTCACCCCTCTCCAGAACTTGTTTGCGAATGAATCTGTGAGAATTATACGAAATTCAATCAACATTTCCGCCCCATCGAGAACTTCTACGCTTTGACTTAATTTACTGACCCAAATAACTCCTTTCCTGTCTCCCAGATAGATCCGGATTTGTCACAGTCCTTTGGAGCTTCAGTAATTGTTTTTGTGAGGTTCATCTCTCGGAGGGCGGAGACTAAAACGTATCTATGAGAAGTGGACAAAAATAGGAATAGAAAGTCATCAAAGCGAGTGGGAATTATTAACAGAGATTATTGATGCACTAGTGAAGTATTAGAAAATGGGGAAGAGAGAAAGAATTCAAATATTTTGTTAATTACGGAGTTATTCCAATAATAAGTCATTTAGGGAAGAAGAAATATCCGAAGGTTTTACACGTAAAAAAAAATTCTATGTGAATTCTCTTGAAATTTTATTCTGATGAGTTTTTAACCGAGATCTCTAAAGAATTTAACTCGTCCGCAAGATTTCTTCAGCTGAGGAAAGATATTTTTACATTTTTTTCTGTCCCCACACGCACAAAAAAATTTAATAGAAAAATCTACCGAATTCGCTAGACAATTCTGCTGGATTTTTATTGTAATTTCTATTAGTTTTTGGCAGTAGAAAATATTCTATAGAAAAAATGAATAGAATTCAATTTTTCTGTACAATTTATTCTGTTGAGATATTTTCTATAGAATTACTTCGGCTAAAATTTTCGTAATGATTATTACGAAATCGTAATGATCATTATTATTAATATTTTTGATTATGTATCTATTTTTTTAATTTTTGCATTCTATTCTTCTTTTCTGTTCGTTAAGACGATCAAACAAAAAAACTGAAAATTTGAGCCGTAGAAATTTCTATACAGTTTTCTATAGAAAATGTCTCAATAGAATAAGTTGTATAGAAAAATCGAATTCTATTGACTTTTTCTATAGAATATTTTCTATTGAACATTTCCATGGAATCGACCAAAAACTAATAGAAATTTCAATAGAAATTCAATAGAATTTTTTAGCGAATTCGCTAAATTTTTCTATCAATTTTTTTCGTGCGCGCGTCCTTCGACTGCAGAATTTATTATACTAAATTGGTACTAACAAGCTGTCTTTAAGATGCGCCCTTTCATCCGTCGAATTAATTAATTTCAATCCGAGAAGTCCCTCAGGAGCGTTGGGAGCATCGAGGGCTTGCTCCGTCACAATCCAAACGTATCCTGCTGCTGTCATGTTCAATGCTGCTGCGTCCCTGAAGATCACGTCTGCGTCTTTTCGACTGAAAGATTTCCAATAAATAAAACAAGTAGTTTGTGAGATTTTTTATAAATACCACGCGAACATGCGTCAGTAATTTATTACTATTACTATTATTTAGATGTTCCATCATCATCTATAAAAAATAGCTCAATGGGTCTCCTGAACGACTGAGGATTTTCAAATTATAAAAAAAATTAGGAATGAAATTGTCTGGTACCTCGCATACATGAGGATCACCCTGGCCTGTGCATTCTTCGTATCCATCAGCTGCTGAGAAAAATTCTCCAAGCCCGGCTCGAACTCAATGACAGATTCGACCTGTTCACCATCAGAAACCAATTTATTATAGAATACATCGTGAGTTTTGCATAAAAATTTTCATTCAAAACAATGAAAATAGAAAGAAAAATATTCGATACGTATTCTTGGACTTTGAAAACCAAGTGGGAACCAGAAAACTTCAACCGGTCATGAAAAATCGGTTCTAGGTATATTGCAAATGCAGATCATTCCCGTCGGCGATTACTTGCTTCAGATTCATTGAATTCTGAAATGAACAAAAACACGTATCCTATATTTTTTCACGGACAAAGAAATTTCGTAGGGAAACCTAACGCATTCGCTAGAAGATTCGATTGAATGGCTATTGGACTTCCATCGGAAATTTCATGGGTTTTCGCGGATTCTATCGAAAAATTCTGCAGCTTTTATTCGCGTTTTTTTAATGAAAATGTTAACCAGAATGGTATTTTGTGCACCCAGTCGAGAAAAGTATTTTAGAGGAGAGAATCAATAGAATTTACCGTTTTCTAATCAGAGGAAACGGAAGATGACGAAAAAAAAAATTGAAAAGTTTATATTGAAGAACTTTCGGCAAAAACGCAATAGAAGTTTAATAGAAATCCAATAGAATTTTCCAACGAAAGCGTCCAGTTTTACTATAAAATTTATTTGCGCGTCCTGTTCCATTTTCACTTCCAACATTGCAAAATTTTGATGCAAAACCCTAATCCTCCGTAAAGTGTTCGCATTCACATAATAATCAGTATTATTAGTAGAATATTGATATTTTCACATACATACCATGCAACATTTTATCTTCATCTAAACATTATCAGTGGTTTGTATGAGCAATGGTTTATCTGCGAGATACTTACACTCTCCCAGTAAAACAACAGTAAAGAAATATGAATAGAAAAAGAACAGGAAAAAAAATAATTCCATGAATCGGTGACAGTCTTCCTGCTGCCGGTGCAGCGCGACAATTAATCAATCGACGAATATCTAAAAACGCGACGAGACTGAAATAATAAAATCGTGCAACAATTATGGCCGATAGAAAAATCCATCCGCCCGTTCAACTCGACATAAACGTTAATCTTCGCTGTTGAATTCGTCGAACCATCGTGACAGACTCAGGGTCACAGTGAGATTTTCGCTATAAAGCGTGCAGACACAAGATCTAGATGGACAAAACGACTCAAATGTCACACGGATGCGCGTGCGAAATTAGAGTGCCCAACCCACATGTACTTTGATCTCTACGTCGTCCTCGAGGCTCTGGGATGTGGTCTGAAAGCGGCCGAGGAGGGCTCTTCCGTCTGTGTCTGAGGAATGAATGAAGATGACTTTCATGTAGTTGAAGTGCTTGAGCAACTCGACCCAAACGTCTGCTTGGTGGGAGTAGGGCGGTACCGTCCGCAGAAAAGACACGTGAATGTTCTGGAAATTAAATTGTTGGAATTTAATGAAATGATTCGGATTTAGTAAATCGGTTTTCATCGTTGGTGATTTGACGTGCAAGACAATTCTACAGAAAAACCAGGCCATTTTGTTAGAAAATTCTATAGAATTTAATATAATTTAATATTTAATGAAAAACTGTTTAATATTCAATATTTTTTATAATTCTATAGGATTTCTGTTGATTTTTCGCACAATTTTATTAGAAATGTCGCGAATTTTCTCAGGGGAAAAATAGTTGGTGGAAACTATTTGACGGAAAAATCAGTAGAATGTGATCTTCTTTACAGCGTATTCTATCGAGTGATTTTCTGTGGAAATTCCTGGACATGATTTTTTTTATTTTTTTTCTTCATCATTAACGCTCGGCCGCAAGTCTTCATCCGTCGCGCGGTTAGCGCAGCGCGGCTGGGTTGAACCGGGCGCGCTATTGCCATGTAGGCGCTTACTGCTATGCGCGCATTTCAAGTGTGGCAGTGAATGCAGCAACACCGTCGCTTGAGCGGTTAGCACCGGGCGGCGCGGTGCCGCCTTTCCATCCGTTCAACGTTTCTTTTTTAGCTAAACGAATTTTCCGAGAAGAAAGCGGACAACGCTAATGCTTAATAAAAGGATTGAACTAGGAACTCCAATTTTCTCAGAATTTTTAAATCACGTTAAAATATAAAAAAACGTAAACGGGCGGTGAAAACTTGGAAGAAATATTTGAATAGAATAAGTTGTGTTGAAAAACAAAATTCTATACATTTTTTTCTCTATAGAATACTGTCTACTGGACATTTGTATTTAAAAAGCGCAGAAAAATCGTGGATTTTCTCAACAAAATTAAATTCAATGAAAATGCATTAGATTATTTTATAAAAGTTTCTCATGTGGGGGATAAAAAATTCAGGTGAAAATTCTACTGGATAATTGACGGTAGAATTTTGTGCCTCGGGAATAATGAATCTAGGAGAAAAATCTTAAATGGCTGGAATTCTCATCTTTGATTTTAAATTGGAAATTGAATTTGAAATGACGCATGAACGCAGCTGGATTGAACTCGACTCACCTTATCCGAAAAGGCCGAATCACGGGATGAAATGCCAATGACTGGAATGTGATAAAATCCGCTGGTGTAGGATACGGCAGCCGGAGAGAGATCTCCAGTCAATGGGTGCGATACGACAACCGCATAGACTCTCTCCACAATCAGGGACTTGCAGACACTCAGAGCTGTTCTGATCGGATTCGAGTCCATTCCAATGACCACGCTGTAGAAGACAACACCCTTGTTGACGTATTGTAGATCGAAATTGAGATTCTACGAACGTGGAATAATTGAAATCAGTAAAACTCATTGCATTATTTTGATAAGTTCAAAGTTAATTATGGAATTTTCTCCAAAATCGATCGACTCGTTGTTAAAAAATTCACAAAGAACTGTAATAAATTTAAACACGAAGAAATTTAATTAGAAAGTCACGCGAATTGAATTCTTATTGAAGTTCTGTTAAAAATTCTGAGTTTTTCGTCGGTTCTGTTGAAAAATCCGCAGCTTCCGTGCACTCTTTTTTCAACAGAAAATATTCAGTAGAGAAATAAATAGAATTTTTTTTTAAACAACTTGCTCTGTCAAGATGTATATAAATACAGAAATTCCTCAACATAAATTTTCTAGGTTTTCTCGACTCAATTTTATTCCACTTTTATTTGCAAAATAAAATTTTAAAAAACAGCAAATTTAGGCGAAGAAATTTCTACAGAAACTCGTAGAAAAGATGGGGAGTTTCGCCAATAGAATCGGCGGAAAATCAATAGAATTTTGAATAGAAGTCCAATAGAAATTCCATAGAATTGTCTAACGAATTGACATAACAGAAGAAATCAAAAACTTAAATTCGGAGGATTACAATGCTTGCATGAGCAAGCAACAGTCCAATGAAGAAAACTAAAGGATTTTCCCGGAAAGTCTATATAAAATACTTCGCCAAAATGAATTGCCTTAAAAAATCAAATTTCTTTCATTTTTCCCTAAAACGTTTTTAATTGAATATTTCAATTTAAAAAACGGGCGGAAAAACTGCGGAATTTTTCAAAACAATTCAAATGTTTTTGCCTAATTTTAATAGTAATAATTGAATTTATGATTGTCTTTTCGTTCAGAACCATTTTCTGACAATTTCCAATATCTTCACTATTCCCAGAACAATTCAACAATCAACATTCACTGAATTAATTCATTCGCCTTAATCACTCACATCCAGTGTCTTCTTGAAGTGATTCTGACTGGCATTGTTGGACAATACTCCACCAATTTTATAATACATCGGATTGCCGACGACTGCCTCAGAGGATCTCGCATAGACGAAGAAAACAATAAACCACAAGAGCATTGTCTTCACGGCGCGCTCCATTGTTGATGATTGGTTCGACACTGCAATTGTCAAAGTACAACAAATGAATCAATTTCATCAGGTCCCAAACGTTGAGATTATCTCCTATGAAACTCACTTGTTCCGCAATTGTTTGATTCGAACTTGTTAAATTAATTCATTCGCTCTGAAATCTGCAGGTCATTACGGGGTGTGTCGCCCCTAATCAAAATATAAATATTTACAAGTGCGTCAGTCCATCGGGGCTGCCACAGCCCGAATGCTTCGGACTTTGTTGCCCGATACTGGAGACTCGGTGGCACAATCTCTATTTCATTGATCCAGCGGGATGCTGCGCACTCGCAATTCAATTGCTCAGGGAAAAATCGTGGGAAAGGGTGTAATCCATCATGGATTGGGTATCACGAATGATTTCTCTTAATTTACTGAAGGCATTCGCTTTTATTACCGATGGAATTGCGTGAATAACAACATAATTTGATAAAAAACGGATTAATAGTTTTTTTCATATCTTTTGGGAAGAGGATTGAGAAAACTTATTTATTAGTCCGTTTTTTCATAGAAAATATTCAATAGAAACTATTTTATAGAAAAATCTGTGAAGTTTTATGGTTTTACACAACTATTTTTATTGAGACATCCTCTACAGAAATTCCTTGGCATAAATTTTTCATTTTTTTTTCACTTAATTTTTTTCTTCTCATCAGAAAAAGGCACTTTTGAAGAATTCACTGTAACGATTTTTGAAGTCTCTCTTCCGCTCCTCAAGTAATGTAGTACAATATCCATGTATGATTTTTTATGTACAGTAATCTTTTGCTTATAATAATTGTAAAAAAAGAGAAATTCATTTCTTGCTGTAATGAAAAAATATATATCGTTCTGTAAAAAAAATCAGATATTTCTTGCAGGACTTGTGACTGCAGTGGTAACAGTCGAATTTTGATCGGGCAACATCGCACGCTTCGGCTAGTAGTGGGGGTGTAACAGTGAGATGAATGTTTGTGTGTGTTATACGTGCCCATATGCTTCCAGCACTGAATTATCGTCACCGACTTTACCGACCTCGATCAGCTGTTGTGCGGTGTTGCCGCGTTGCTCGACTCGTAATGGCGGTCAAATTTTTTTAGAGCAATTCGAAAATCAATCGAAGATATCACGCCTATATGACCCGGTCCCCTACTTGTTCTCGCCGGCGATAGATTCTCCATAGTCTAAAGTAAATGGCTTGTGGTTTTTTTTCAATATCTTGAGTGTCTAACCCATGCAACATCTCGATCAAAGTTCACCCGGTCATGTTTCTTCCCTAAGCGTAATGTTACAAGAAGTGATTTTCAGAAATTAATTTCTCACTAGGATGCCCCGATCGAACGATCAAGATTATTACGAACGCGTGGCTCAAATATGAACCTGGCATATGAGACAATATCAAAATTATGGCGAACAATGTGAGTTTTGGCTGAACATCCTTAAAGTCTCATCGCAATATTCTCAACCGAGTCGAAACGATGTAAAATAACAGCAGAAAAAATTGCATTCCAATAAAAATACAGAATATGTTCGATTCAACGAACACCAAAGATGAAGATGAACACTTTTCCTTATTAATTTTCAGTCTCCCGATTCTCTCATTCATTCTTTATTGTCAATCGACACGAAATAATTTTCAAATACATCCGAAACATGTGATCAGCACCGCCTGTCGTTGACTTTGAGAATCCTCTTCCAGCTAATACGAGTCGCGTGGTACTAACACAATCAAAGCTAGTGGCTGGCAGGGGTAGAGTAGACGTCAATACACCGAGCGAAAGCTGTTCACCGCAGAGTGCTGCAGCTGGCTGGTGCCAGTCCAGTTCTCTGCTCACTTCGCGTTTCACCAGTTTTCTCTCTCCTTTTTTATCAACTCCCATTTCCCATTTCACATTTTTGCTCGTTATTTCTCTCTCGCAGTTTCTTTCTCCATTCGGAGTGATGATATTTTTGCGTCACGCGATTTTGTCAAGGAACAGGGTCTTCTCGGATTGTTTCGACGAGCTTATCGCATCGATATATCGCAGGCGTTTATTCTGGAATAAGTGGGAATTGTATGAGGTGAATAAACAAAATTTATTCCTACTGAATTACAATTACGTACCGTAATAAGTGTGTCAACAATTGGGGACGTCAGGGTGCCGAGTAATTCGAAAATTGGGTTATTACAGTTGGCAGGATGGGATTGAATGATTTGATTTACTGGTGAGTTGTTATTCGGTATCTGCAATATATTTATAATGAAAACAAATGATTATTTTTAGTAATGCATTTTTATTTTGCTGACATTTTTCTTATTCATGCACGTGTAATTTGTCTGTTGACAGAATCCAGCTTTTTATCCGTTTTTCCAATGTTTCAAATGTTTAGCATAAAATGGTGTGTCGAAAGAATCAATAGAACTGAATATTTTTTGTATGAATTCGTCGACCAGAATTTTCATTGTTTTGTTGTTTTTGAATTAATTAATTTACTGGTGAATCAATTTTATTCGGTTCTGCAATATATTTATGATGAAAACAACAGATTATGTTTATTAATGCATTTTTATTTTGCTGATATTTTTCTTATTCATGCACGTGTAATTTGTCTGTTGACAGAATCCAGCTTTTTATCCGTTTTTCCAATGTTTCAAATGTTTAGCATAAAATGGTGTGTCGAAAGAATCAATAGAACTGAATATTTTTTGTATGAATTCGTCGACCAGAATTTTCATTGTTTTGTTGTTTTTGAATTAATTGATTTACTGGTGAATCAATTTTATTCGGTTCTGCAATATATTTATGATGAAAATAACAGATTATGTTTATTAATGCATTTTTATTTTGTCGACATTTTTCTTATGCACGTGTAATTGGTCTGTTGACCGAATCCACAGTTTTATATCCGTTTTTTCAATTTTTCAATTTTTCAATGTTTCAAATGTTTAGGATAAAATAGTGTGTCGAAAGAATCAATAGAACTGAATATTTTTTGTGTGAATTCGTCGACCAGAATTTTCATTGTTTTGTTGTTTTTTAAATAATTGATTTACTGGTGAATCAATTTTATTCGATATTTGCAATACATTTATAATGAAAACAAAAGATTATTTTTATTAATACAGTTGTTTACATTTTTTTTATTCATGCACATGCACGAAAAATTTTCGACTTCTATTGAAAGAATCCGCAGCTTTTCCACGCGTTTTTTCGATAGGAATGGTTAGTGAAAAAATAATGTACAGAAAGAATCAATAGAATTGAATATTTTCTGTACAAATTCATCCACGGAATTATGTGCGCTTTTTTTTCTTCATTTCTTTCGAAATTTTATGAGTGATCAATCTAATTCCATGATTTTTTTCATTAATATAGACTTTAAGAAGAACAATTCATTGACACCAATTAAAATTCAATTTCTCATAGAGATTCGAAAAAATTGATATTTTTCCAAAAATCGATTTTCATGGCTCAAAAAATTGATAACAATACTCTCTTGATTCTATCAGAATATGATGGGGGTCGCACAATTCGTTGTTGAGTTACAGCGCATTGTTTATGCGATTTGAAAGAGAAAATCGTTTTTTTTTTCATGATTACTGAAAGAATCATCAGTAGTAGCAATTAAATCAGGGCTTGAAAAGTATATTTCAATGCCTTCTTAATCAAGTTGAAAAATGGTGAGAACAGCATCATTGCTAATCAAGTTACACAATACCGTCATGAGCTTTTTATATCAAAATCTCTATTAAACTCAGGTACCTGTCTATTACGTTGAATACGTATTCATATTAATTCATGGTCCCGACTAACTTCTGACAGAACCTTGGTTAAACTCTGGCTAAATCCTGACTAAACCCTGATTAAATCCCGGCTATACACTGATTAAACCTTGATTGAACCTTGATTAAACCCGGACTGAAAACTCATTCGAGTCTTGAGAGGGTCTGACTATAGAATTATATGACAGAGCAAAATAATGCGCAAAATTTTGATGACATTTCAATCGATGATAGTACCATGACACCAAAAAATAGAAAAAGGGAATACTCTAACAAGAATTTCAAAAAAGAGAACCCATTCAACCCAACCCAACAATAACTCTACTCATTCACCAAAAAATTGCAATTGTCCACTTGTTTTTTTAACCGCGTCATTCATCACTGAACGATCTAAAAATTGAATCATGAATTACGTTATCTAGAACGATTTCGTGATTTTAAAACTCGTTTCCCTCCAAAGGTATCAGAAAAAAATAGGCACCTACGATAAACAACAATGGGAGAAAACAGTGGAGCAGAGAATATTCGGTGGCTTCAACAACGTCCCAATGCGCACTGCAAAATTAAAAACCGAATTCATCGACGTGGATCTCGTTCGAGGTGAATTAATTATCTCACGAATAATAATGTCTCAACGTCAACGGTCAAGCCAACCACTCACTCAATGAATTTTTCAACAGGCTCTTCGTTCCCCAAGGCAAAACCCAAGCATGGATTGATTACAGTCACATGGCTTGCGGTCAAGAGACTCGTATTGTTGCCATTCTACAGAAATTGGTGGACACAACAGACGAGCGGAAGGATCTTTTGTTTATTTCTATTGCTCTACAGTCTGCAGATACTCAATGTTGTTATTTATACGAAGGCCGGGGACCCCAGTGAATCGAATGTAAGGATTCATTCATTCCTCTGGATGAATAAAAAATTTTCCTTTCGGTCATGTCATGTGAATCGGAAATCCACTCACGGTGCATTTAGCATTATTCGAGAATGAAGCCTCGACGGAAATTTACGACGAAACAGCCGACACTTTCCTCAAACTCTGAAATCATTGTTTATTTATTAATTTTGGCCAGAACCAATTCACCGTATCTTATCGACTCTGAAAATATTGCTATTAATAGTCCTCCAATTTACGCGCCATCTCCCGACCATCCGCAGATTATTAATTTACTCATAAATTCTGCACTTATCGCGTGCACTGAGAGAAAAAATTAGTTCTACCGAAAAATGATATGTTTTTCTCTGGAGCTTTGTAGACATCTTTCGTATGAAAACAAAAATTCACGTGATAATTTATGTATAGAAATAATTCGCATAAAAAATATTCGGATAGAAATATCCGAATATCATATCCGGAAATCTATAGAATTTCTATACGCAATCCGAATAGGAAATTTCTATACGATTTTTTCATACGTGACGCCATCAAATATCCTTACGTAGAACATATCATTTTTCGCAGAACTAATTCTTCCTCTCGGTGTATAACTCCATCGCATATTCTGTCGATAAGAAAATTGCGCAGGAAGGTCAAGCGTGTAATGCTATCTCTTTGTTATGTCTCGTTTTTGCAGATAGTATCGATGACTGAACTCTTGGTGCCAGCGGCGATGATGTTCGTCCTGTGCACCGTCCATTCTCAAATTGTTTCAACAAATTCAGGGCCTGCTATAGTCAAAGGACACAACAGGTCGAGGATCAGGAGATCGAGGCATGGGAGGAGTCGATCGGGAAAGTTGAGACCGAGGAGACCCAGCAAAGGGAAGAATTCGGTTGAAACTGCGGGGGAAAACGTTGGGAAATCGTACTCGGGGATTCCTTCTGTAAGATTTGCTAAGAAAGTTTGCATTGACACATCAGTAGCATCACGAAGGCCCTCGGGAGGTCACCAGGTGAATTTCCATTTTCTTGTTGATAATTTTTTTCCATTTACTGTCGTTTAAATGCAACTTCTTATCCATTGGGAGAAAAATGTGAAGCAAATTGGTAGATGAGTGAAGCGTAAACATCAATTGAAACATAAAATTTATGGTCCTTTGTTTTATTCACAGTCCGAGCCGACGGTTTCCACGCCCCGGTCTTTCTCTGACGATAAAATCGTTGAGAAAATTATTCCATCGTCTTCCAGAGTGCCTCAGCCAGTGATTAATCAACCGCAAGAGCCACCAAGTGCGAATGACAATTATGAAGGTGACAGAATCGAGCTCCCAGTTGAATTCCTGATATTTTAAGCATTTTTTACTCATTTATTTAAAAAATAGTTCCTCGTAAAACCACGAATAACTTTACTTTTTTATGTTTTTACCTTCAAAATGCTTCTTGCGCCGTAGTTTTCATACGATTTAAGTTCTTTTAAATGTTTGTTACACTCCAAACAATAATGTTAAGCATCAGTTTCACTTTATTCGCAATAGATCATGAATAAATGAATTTTGAAATTCATAAATTTTTTTTGAACCCGCCTTTTCGCTTCAACCTGCCATTTTTGTTCATAAAAATTAGATTATGTATGATTACAATGTTCAGTTGCTAAAAACAATGAATTTTTAGTGCTACTCTAGAGCCGTGAAAAATTGATGAAATTGAAAATTCATTTATTTACGATCGTGAGCATTAAATTGTGAAGTTGTCAAAAGCTAATATTATTGGCCATCCTTGTTCCCATATTCCATCGTATATCACAAACTGTTCTATGTCCCAAGGCCCCTTGAAGACTTAAATTTCAGCAACGCATCCCCTGAGATAAAATCGACCAATAACTAGCAGAATTTTCTATCGAATTCACTAGATTTTTATAACATTTTTTCCCGCAGATCCAAACGTGAATGAAAACGCGGAAAATGTTGACACAATCCATCAGGATGACGATGGATTTGAGAGCCTCAATGGAAATGTCTCCAGCGATAATGATCGCGCAACAGTGAGGCCACAAATGACTGCAGAAGTTGAGATTAATAAAAAATCAGAGATCGGAGGATCAGAGAGCAGTGATGAGCGTGTAACCAATGCTGGAGAAATCCACCGAAAAAGTGATATGAATTTAGATAAGAGTAAAGATAATAGTGACCAGTCAACGGTATGTAGGTATTTACCCCACAATAGCCCCCAGAAGATAAACAATTAAATAATGGTGAAAATTCAATTGAATTTCCAACAGAAAAATGACGTGGGGAAACTGACGAAAGAGTACCAGTGCGAGAGCGAGGAGGAGGGCGAGTGCGAGGAGGCTGGCACCAATCAGTTGACAGAGGCAACGACTTCTGCTACTGAGTGGATGGGTGTTACCACCAACAGCGATGAGTGCAGCTACAGGTGGGAAAAATTCCATGATGAAAATCATTTGCTTCGAAAGGGTCTCACGTCGCAAAATTTCAGCTCTGATCTCGACGAGTCCGAGCCGCACAGTGATAATAATTTTGGGTATGGTGAGTTTATTGAGCATCCGTTCTCCTGGGAGTTGGAGCTGCCACCTTCCATTTTGCTGAGCTCCTGCTGTGCAACTTCTGATCGAGGTAATTTTGGATATGAGGTATTGCATGTCGAATGAGTCAACGGCTGACCCGCGCCCTTTGGGAAATTAATCTCGATTTTTTCGGCGATTGGGGGGCTAGAAAAACTAGTTCTCAATTTTTTTCAGATTTTTTTGACAGCCCATTTCGGAGATATGATTTTTTTTCTTTTTTTTTTCGTTTTTTTTTAATAACTCGGGGTGTATCCAGCTGATTTTAATTTGTGACACCTCAAAATTTTCCATTTTCTATCTTTTATAAGAAGATTTTGGGTAATTTTTTTTCAATCTCTAGGTGCTCATAATATCGAATTAAAAAAAAAATAAAATAAAAAAATAACTTGAATTTCCAAAATTCTGTCACCTTTATTTTTTTATTTCTTTTTTCAGTAACTCTTATCGTCAAAACAAGTATTTTGAGCCGTCATACAACTTAGATTTCGTCTTGGATCTATTTTATTTTTAATTTTTTCTTCTCGAAATTCCGCAAAAAATTGATGCATTGGGCATGCATCAGCATTTGGAATGCTTTCACGAAATTTTCATTTCTTAGAGATGAATATCGCAGAAACTAGGTAGCACATGAATTTACAAAAAATTCGCCGTATTCGAAATTTATCAATTTATCACGGATTAGTTTTTTTAAGAATATCGTAAGAACCGTTTTTTGATAAAATGGGAAAATCGAGTTTGTGGGACCCCTAACCCGCGCATTTACTATCTCCTAAACTGTATACTACTGCTAGTTAGTATTTTTTTCAATAGCTGAGGACTATTATAAACATTATCTATGAAAAACATGGGGACAATCTTAAGAAAAACATGAAAAACCTGCATTTTTCGATTTTTTCGACTCGTAAAAACCCTATTACCCCCACAATTTTCAATATTTTTTAACGAAATATTTTTGTGTATTCGAATTGACCTTCCGCAAAAACAGTCGTATGGAATTTGAAATTGCTCAATTCCCTCCGTTAAATAAAAAGCGAATATTATTGAAAAATGAAAATTTAATCATGCTTCAGCCTGCCTTCTTTTACATAAAGAAGAAAGTGAAAAAAATTTCCCGAAAGTTTCAATCAAGTACTTGAACCGCACGGATTAATTTCTCATCACGGATGACAAGCATAACTGAGAGGCATAACTTCGTCTCTTAAAATCTTCTAGTTTCCTGCACATTGTGGACCCGTCGAGACATAAAAAAGGCGGAACTATCGGTGCTGGACATAAGTTCAGCGATAATAGCGAGAGCTGAATCTATGCCTGAGAGTATGGATTATTTTTACGGTGGACTCGTCCTCTCAATCGTCCTCGCTATTATTCCTTCTATAAGGAGGTTGAGCGATCACTTTAGCTCGGATTCTACGAATAATTCTACCGAAACATATGTGAATGATTTAGAACCGGTCGACTTCAGTACCTACACTGGTTTCATTTGCAGAATTATTGATGTGGCCTTCGGGAGTATTCTTTGGTACGAAGTATTTCTGTTAAGTTTTGATGAATTTACTCGGAAAACTCATTTGGTTGTTGCATCAATTTCGAAGGCATGTACAAAAAAAATGCTATAGAGAAGCCCAGGGAATTTACTAGAAAATTCTATTGGATTTCTGTCGAATTTTGTTGGGATTTTTATATAAATCCAGGAATACAATTGACAGTTATCAATTATATGTGTTTAATTCAGTAATTAAAAAATGTAAATCTGTGTAAGTCTTCTGTGAAGAATTAGAATTAGAAGTATATTAAAAGACTAAAGAAAAGTTGAAAGAAATATAGAATGAGTTCAGAGTTCACCAGTTCACTTTGATTTTTCCAACAAATTTCTATGCAAAATTCTATTAGTTCTTGCTGGAATTGTTCTATTGAAAAATTCCGCAGCTTGTTTATGACTTTTTTGTCACTAGAAAGGTTCAACAACAGATATTGTATCGAAAAAACCAATAGTTTTATTCTTTTATGCAATTTATTCTGTCGAAATCATTTTTGGTGAAATTTTGTTTTTTCTTGAATTTCTTAATGAACAAAGGAAGTTCAGTTAGAAAAATGTTGGAAAATTATGTCGATGAATTTCTGTAGAATAGAATGGGCCCAAACTTTAGAGAATGTTCAATAGAAATTCAATAGAAATCCAATAGAATTTTCTAGTGAATTTCTCGGGTTTTTCTGTGGAAATTTTTCGTGTGTCAAGTGATTTTTTAATGTTTATTCTATCACTAAATTAATTTATTCATTCATGTTACCCCCTCCTAATGAATTTTCCAGGGAAAGAGCAGTAGTTCTAATACTTTCATTCGAGAGACTAGTCCTCTCTTGCCTCCTATTTTTCCTTCTCGCAGTGGCTGAAAGAACATTCAAACAGAGGCTCCTCTACGCGAAGCTCTTTTCGCACTTGACGTCGTCCAGACGAGCGAGGAAATCGGATTTGCCGCATTTCAGGCTCAACAAAGTGAGAAATATCAAGACTTGGCTCAGTGTGAGATCCTATCTAAAGGTAAATAACGGAAATTGCCCTATTCAATTGGTCTTGGGAACGCTGAATAATATTTGATTTTCTCCTTTCTGGAAAAATAGAGGAGAGGGCCTCAGAGGTCTGTTGACGTCATCGTGTCTGCGGCGTTTATCGTCACTCTGCTGTTGCTCTCGTTTGTGAGCTTAGAGCTTATCAAAGTAAGCTATTGAAACCTTCTATTTATTTTGCAAATTCACAGTTGATGATGAATGTAATGCATCGAGAGCGACCCATTTTTTAATTGTCTTTAGGACTTGGGGAGTCTACACTCGAGATCAAACATCGAAGCGCTTATCTGGAGCTTTGTCCTTGGAATATACCTCTTGAGATTCATGACACTTGGGACTAAAATCAATAAGAAGTATCGTAATCTCTCTGTGCTCATCACTGAGCAGGTAAATGATTCCATTCAGCCACGAAAAAAATTTCACTGAAGCCAATTAATTTGTTCAAAAATTCTATTTTTCCGGCACATAAATTGGCTTTTCTAATTTTTTTAAATTTATTTTAACAACACTTTAAAATTAATAATCTCATTCATTTATTTAATTCGATGAAGATCTGTGGATTATATGAAATTAATAAGTGATTTATTGCAAATAAATCGTCGATTAGAATTGAATGAACGATTTTGTTTATCTAAAAGTATTATGATATGTTAATAAATTCATTGTCATAGTCATCTAAAAGATGAATAAAAATGAATCAAAATAAAATGAATAAAAAAATGAAAAAAATTTAATTTGTGTCAAAAGAACACGAAAATTCTCATGAAGTTTCAATAGAAATTTAATTGAATTTCACTGGAGACTTCAGAAGAATTGCACCGAAGTTCGATTAAAATTCTATTAAAAAATTCAATTTTTTTTGTGCCAATTCTAAATCAATAAAATTGACCATTCTCAACATTTACTGATATTTTCCACAGAAGTTCCTCGACATAAATTTTCTAAATTGTTTTCATTCCATTTTCTCTCCTCTCATTGAAGAGATCAAACAAAAAACTTGGAGTTAGTTGTACAGAAATAGAGAAAATACATTAGACGTTCTCACAAAATAATCCAAATATTTCCTCAGATAAATCTGTATCTCCAAATAGAACAGAAACCCCACAAGAAAGAGGAGCTCACAGTGGCAAATAGTGTTCTAAAGCTGGCAGCTGACTTAATAAAGGTAAATTGTCCCCATTCACAACATGAACGAATCGGGAATAATTAATTCCATGCTAATCAACGTGGCACATGATTCCAGGAATTGGAGAGTCCCTTCAAGATCTCCGGCCTCTCAGCAAATCCGTACTTATACACAATAACTAAAGTCGTGCTTCTCTCAGCCCTGTCAGGAGTGCTCTCAGAGCTCCTAGGATTCAAACTCAAACTCCACAAAATATCAATCAAGTAGTTGCAAACTGTGGTAATTACACAGTGATTCGTCAATGAAAAAAATGAAAACTCGACTTTTTCTCATTCTTTGAGTATAAAAAATGACTGCTAAAATCATCACGATAGCGACAATCTCCTACAACTTTCAGATTTCACGGCGGTCTCCCCTTACTTCAAATAAATCATTTCTCTGGGTGTATTATTCATTCCTCCCACCGAGGGCCATATTTTACAATCATAGCGAATTCCAATCGAAAGTATGAAATCTGTACAAATTAACGTATTCAATTAGAAATTAATTATTTTTGGCAATGAGAGGATTATAAACAGCACTCATGTTCACATGTCCTCGATTGCACTCGAACGATATCCATTGCGTCCTACTTACTTCGAATTTTTCTCAAGAAATGTTGTATCGTTAAACCAATGGTTGTAAATGAGATGATGTACATGAAACTGCAGATTATAAAGATAACTGATGTGATTAAAAATATTTGATCAAGTCTTGTGTTATATTCTGTACTATAATCCATTCTCGTGTCTTTGCGTGGAGATTGAGTGCGGCAGAAGGAATGCAATGAGCGATATCTTTACGACTGTCAATTCATTTCTGTTGATTGTGATACCCCAAGGGCGCCGGCGGGCCAGCCCGAGCTGAATTGTGAGGTTTAATAAATTTTCTCGAAAGAATTAACAATCATTAACCACCATTCGTATAAGAACTTTCGAAAGCAATTCGAAAATACTCTCTCCCATTACATAAATTAAATTGAGGGAAATTGTGCAATGGAGTGAATCTGTTGTCCTTTTCCGATTATATCAGCGAGAGTTTAAAACATACTTGACACAGCACATAATCGAGTCCCACGCAGTAGGTAAGGTCAAGCTTGGGTCGATGGCACTTGATTGCATCGCACTTATGCGTAATCAGCCCGCTTCTCCTCGATAGCCCAATCATCTGATCACCTATACTGTTAAGAAAGTTTGGTTGGATTTTCCGGAAAAAGATGTCGACAATGGAATTTCAAGTGAACATCAATATTCACTGCCAAATTCCCTTGAATTTTCCGGGAATTCCTCTAAAATTCGTGGAATTCCAGAAATTTTTGAAGGAAGTCCCTGAAAATTCAGGGAAATCTGGAATTCAAGGAGAGATTTCTCTGCATTTTCCTGATTCTTCCGGAAAAGGACGCTTGATAATAGAATTTGAAGTTTTTCTGAGAATTCAAGTAAAGTTTAATTTTTTTCGCGGCTGGAAAGAAATTTTCAAATGAAAATCAGTATCCACTACCAAATTCCATTGAATTTTCAGAGAATTCCTTTAAATTCTTAGAATTCCAGGAATTTTTGAAGAGAATTGAATCAGTTTTGTCATTTAAGAATGCTGAATGAAACAAGTTAATGTCAAGACAAAAGATGATGACACAACGAATTCAATCAATAAATAATGAGAGTTACTCTTGTAAATTAATCCCTTACACGGTACGACCCTTACGAGGTGCGACCCTCGAGACGCATGATCCCGGCGAGGCATAAACCTCACGACGTTTATCACCCTCGCGGGGTATAATCTTCGCGCAGCTTCACGGTTTACGATAAAAGGTAACGGTGGCTGATTTTTCACATTTTTTACATTTATTACGTAAATTACGGGTTTTTTACAATGTCATGTAGCGGTTATCGACAGATGCGCAACGGCTGACAACAATGAGGCCATCAGAATTCTCTAATAAAACGACAAAGTTCTCAAACAGGTCTTACTTGTGCCAAGAAAAAAGTTTTTTAAAAATTATCAAAATAGTATATTTCGTTACGAGTGCGGAATAGTATTTTTCCGGCCTGTTGCGATGGGGTTTTTTACTCGAGTGACGTTGGTCTCCGAGCCGTAGGCGAGGACTGGCCAACCACACGAGTAAAAAAACCCCATCGCAACAGCCCAGGAACAATATTTTTCTGTAGTGATTTTCAAGTCTTCGAGTTTGGGAAGCATGTAATACCAATTCCCAGACGAGAAATCGTGAGAAGCAGTACAGAAAAAGAGTTTTTTGGCTCGTGGGATTATATCACTCGCCTTCGGCTCGTGCTAAAAATCTCTCACGAGCCAAAAAACACTTTTCCCACGAGTATCGAACGATTTTCATCACAATGTGTGGAAAAGGGACGTTTTAGGCACACGAAGCATGCCTCAAAAGTTACTTTTTCGTACAGCGTGATGAAAAAGGATTTTTTCGTGCATAGTGTATAGAAAATTCGCGCATTTTCGAAAATTTCGTGCATTTCGTGTCAGTGTATAGAAAATTTCATGAAAATTTCATGAAAATTTTATGAATTACAGAAAAAGAGTTTTTTGGCTCGTGAAATTATATCACTCGCCTTCGGTTCGTGCTAAAAACCTCTCACGAGCCACAAAACACTTTTCCCACGAGTATCGAACGATTTTCATCACAATGTGCCGGAAAGTGGACTTTTAGGCACGTGGAGCGTGCCGAAAAGTTCACTTTTCGTCACAGCGTGATGGAAAAGTTACTTTTTCGCACAGCGTGATAAAAAAGGATTTTTTCGTGCATAGTGTATAGAAAATTCGCGCATTTTCGAAACTTTCGTGCATTTCGTGTCAGTGTATATAAAATTTCATGTCCTAAAAAAATGCTATTTTCACATTTTTCTCTAAACTCGCAAGTTCCTCCGAAATTCCCAGAACAATTCCTCAAAAAAAATCAGTTCGATCGAGTGCCACCCTCTCAAACCCATTAAGTTAAGCCAATCCCATCCCATTTGAACCTCTGTCAAGCCCCTACCATCAACAAATTAGTGCAGAAATGTCCCCACACAGTGAAATGAAGCCTTGAAGATGAAAAAAATGTGAGAAAAAAAATACGTACGACATGCTGTACATCCACCACATCCACTCTGATCCAAACAACTCCGCATTGTAGTAGTCACCTCGTGACAGTTCGTGACTCATTCCGTTCTGAATGGTGTGATTTTTAACAGGAACACCGGTTGGCTACACTAAACGAGTCTCATAGTGGGGGAGTGAAATTCGTCCCTGACTCTGTCTGTGTGGGTATTTGTAGTGTTCCCCCTTTCATCGATTCACTGGTCTGAGTCGCACTCGCTAGAGAATTCCATTGAACTTCTATTAGAAGTTCTATTAGACTTTCGATAATTCCGTTAACAAATGTCGCGGATTTTGTATACGTTTTTTAAGACAGGGTGTCCCGGAACTGATCTGAGATGTCATTTAAAGCATGGTATTCAAAGATATCTCCGGAGTTCTGATTTTCAAAAATACAAATTTCGCAAATTTTCAACTAAATCAAAATAACGATTATTGCTGTCGCCTTCTTCTTCGAACTCGATCAAAAGGACATCCAAACAAATTTTCTAAGCCATCATGCAATCAATTCAGAAATTTTTTTAAATTGTGGGACAACCGATTTTCGGAAAAATTCAAAAATTGAAAAAAATTCAAAATTCAAAAGTTAAAAAACTAATCGATGAATTAAATTTTGATTAATGGCTATCGATAGGGCTCAACAATGCCTACATTTGAAAATAAAAATCAATTCCATCCATTCAATAGCCAACAATTGAAGAAAGACTTTGTTACGTACATAGGGGGTAAAACGGACATTATTGACTTTAAAAAAAATCTCAATAAGGGGTTGAAATGTTGATAAAATTTAATAATTTTTTTACAATACAAAGAACAATTCTTTCCCTTTGTGACGAGCCTAAACTGGGCTCAATTGATCAATTTGTTTTTGAGTTATGAATAATCTAAAAAAAGTCTAAAGTGTCCGTTTTACCCCACGCTCCCCTACACGAAAAAAAACCTACAGACGAGGTCTAAAAATTGTATTTTCGGATCATACCGGGTCGACAAAACACAAAAAATCCAAAACTTCAATTTGTACGATTACAAAGCTCCCATTCGGCCGCAAAAATAACCAAAGTACTTGGATAACCTTAAATAGAAAAGAGACGACAGTTTTCGTCTCCAAATACTCCCCTCCAAGCTGTACCCTCACGATAAGTCACATCCGTTTCGGGACACCCAGTAGAATAGACCTATTCATTCCGTACATCTCGAGGAAATACTTATTCCCGTCACCGAACTAAAAAATCTCCGGAAAAACATTCAACACAACAAAATTTTGAGCCTCCGAAATTAATGATTTACATATAAATTCGGTAAAAGTGTCCGTAAGGCCGAGTAACTCGGGAAAAGTGTTCGAAAATGTAGTCTCTCAGAATGAAAAGTTCTATTTTCTGGCCCCTGCGCTAGGCTTTCCTACGAAATTTTTCCGTGCGTTTCTATTCTCTCTTCTCCTGAAGCTTCTATTTCCCTGCCTCCCATAGTCCTTCGCTGTGTACATACACACGCGGCGCGCGTTGAACTGCGTCAGATACCATCGCAACGCTCCTACCAGTCGAATGTTGACCGTACCGTGAGTAGACTACCGTGTGCGGCATCGCACTTATTTCAGTGAGACCTGAGCGGTTTGATAGACAGGTCGATTCAGAAGATTTTTCACATGGATAAAGTGCACGGGGTTGCGGCCCTGAAAGTCAGTGGACATGGATTTTACGACGGCTCGAGGGCCTTCGAGGGACTCTCCGACGTCGTGGGACTGCCGGTTGATCAGGTTAGACACTGTCATGTGACTTTTAAAGTTTCGTGAAGGGTGAAAACAATTTTTCACGAGTGTTTTCGTCAACGAGTTGTTGCGGTTTATTGCGTTCTGGGGAACTACGCCGGATAGTCGGTGTTCGCGAGGGTTCCACATTGATTCGGAAATTTTTGGGGGTTAAGGGAACGAGGAAGAGAAGGACCTGTTGCCGCTCTTGCGTAGTGCGCACTCCTGTCTCGCTCGCTCTCATTCGGCGAGGGAGTGAGGAAATTGAATGAGTTGGGATTTCGGAGCTGATTTTTTGGGAATATCTTCGGAGTGAGGGGATTTAGGGGGATTTGGGTGGGGAGACTTTTGTGGGGAATTTTGAGGGCTATACAAAAGGTCGTTTGGTGTTTTTTCATTGGACCAAGGGTTTTCGAGATATTCGGGAAATTGGGGAGATGAATTGTGCTTTTTTGAGTTATCTCACATGTTTTGGTCGTGAGTGAAGTGATAAGAACTCATTTGTCAGTGGAAAGTGACTTTTGGAAATTGTTCTTCAGGAGAGAACATATTGTTTTTCAGAGAGACAACATAACATTCTCAGTAGGGTGGCTATTTAATTGTTTTTTTTTGTTTAGAAATTGAATGAGTTGGGATTTCAGAGCTGGTTTTTTGGAAATAACTTCGGAGTGAGGGGATTTAGGGGGATTTGGATGGAGAGACTTTTGTGGGGAATTCCGAGAGCTACAAAAAAGGTATTCTGGTATTTTTTCATTGGACCAAGGGTTTTCGAGATATCTGGGAAATTGCACTGATAGAACAGATTAGTTATTGTTAACGAATGAAATCCATTCGCTAACAATAAATAATCCTTTCTATCAGTTGTGGGGAGATGGTTTGTGCGTTTTGGAGTCATCTCGTGTGGGAGATGATTGCGGGTTTGGGTCTTCGGTTCGTTGATGCATCTCGTTTTGTATGCATTTGGGAGTGGGGATCGAGTGAGTTTTTTCGGCGACAACATGTTTTGATCGTGAGTAAAATGATAAGAATTGATTTGTCAGTGGTAAGTGACTTTTGGAAATTACTCTTCAGGCGATAATATATAGAGATAATAAAAGAACACACGCCTCCAGTGAGGAAAGGCTATTTTTGAATTTTTTTTTCACTGAGTCAGAATTCTATTTCTAGAGATAGTGATCCCACGAGTCATTTCGACAACTGCGGTTTGCTGGTCAATCATTGATTCTGATGAAAAAAATTAATAGAAAAACCCAGCGCTTTCTCAAAGAAATTCTGTTGAATTTCTGGTGACACTATCAAAATTGTCGTGAGGTTTTATTAGAATTCTATTACGAATTCTATTTATTTCCTGCGCCATTTCTATAGAAATGCCATGCATCATTGCCGTATCATTTTAATAGAAAAATTAATAGAAAAACCCAGCGCTTTCTCAACGAAATTCGATTGAATTTCTATTGACGCTATCAAAATTGTCGTGAAGTTTTATTAGAATTCTATTAAAAATTCTATTTATTTTCTGCGCCATTTCTATAGAAATGACATGCATCATTGCCGTATCATTTTAATAAAGAAATTAATAGAAAAAGCCAGTGTTTTCTCAACGAAATTCGATTGAATTTCTATTGACACTATCAAAATTGTCGTGAAGTTTTATTAGAATTCTATTAAAAATTCTATTTATTTTCTGCGCCATTTCTATAGAAATGACATGCATCATTGCCGTATCCTTTTGTTAAGAGATATTTGATAGAAAAAAGTGAATAGATTAGATTTTTCTATAAAAATTCCTGGGGCTAAGCAAACTAAACGAAAAGTCTTTTCGTTTACTTAAGAACGAAAAAGGCACAATTCTACCACTCGCTGAACGCAACACTCCTGTCATGAAATATTGTTCGACGCATGTGAGACGGGAATTTCCACGAGTGTGAGGTTGGCACGCCTCGCCTTCGGCTCGGGGTGCCAATCATACGAATCGAAAACCCCTGTGGCACCAGGGGCGAACGATATTTTTCCGCAGTGACTTTCACTTTTGCGGACTGGGAAAATTGAAGGTCAGTACGGAAAATAATATTTTTATTTAACGACGTTTTACGGACGGCGGGATGAACAATAAATTTTTATGGATCGATCTTCTACAGATTAAATTGATCTTACGAACGAACGCAAGAACAATTTGGTCCATCATCCTATCTAAGAATTGAATGACTAAAAATCTTCAAATCTCATTGTTATGTAGTCAGGAACAAGCTGCAGATGCCATATGTATCACCTCACATCTTTGCTCTATTCTGCGTCGTGACAGATCTGGCCAGTGCGTTGCGTCATCCATCGATAATAAATGAGTTGCCCTACCGCAACGCAACGAATGAGTAACGTCATCCATAAATTTAACGTTTCCATAACCATCGTCCCCCATTATCATCATTATTCTCCTTCCCACGCATTAATTGAGCCATTTTTCCATCGAATTTGAACTATTACCGGCTCATTTGCGCGACTAGAAATAATGTTCACACAAAGTTCATCTTTGTGGGATGGTAATTTATCCCTGTGGATGCGCAAATGCACCGTGGATTCGCTTCACAGGGAATATTTATACTTGAGCAATAAATGAGGGAGAAAATACGGAGGAAGTGGTGTGAATACAACTAAACGCCTTTCGCATGTCTGAGCAGACTGGAGAGTCAGAAGGAATGTCGACTCATTGTTCGGTTCAATTATTTGTTTTTATAGTTCGAAGAAGCCGATAAACAAAAATAATTGTTGAAGGCTTGATAAGACGTTTCTTGATAAGGCTCACATTGATGGACTATTTTTGTCGAGTTTTTTTGTTTGCGTAGATTGCAGCCAAGGAAATCGTTTGTGTGCAGCGAATAACATTTATTGGGAATGAATGATTTTTTTATCAAATAGACAATATATTATTATTCATTATTATTTATTTATTATTATTTTTGTATATTGTTTATTTGAATTGTTTCTCTTTCAAATATTGTGACATTCATAATATTCCATGACTTATAAAAAAAATCTGTAGATAAACTTTTCTGTCTAGTCACCAGAAAATCACATGAATAACACCCGAAACAAAAGAAAATATTAAAAATAGAAAAAAAGTCGCCATTGTCGCCAGGGACGAGAATTCCCCAATTAAAACATGAACGTCTAGTAGGAAATTACATAAAATGTTGAATTGATTGAAAATTCAAATGGTTTTCGACTTGTAGGTATTAATTTTCGCGGAATAACTGAAAGGCGGTTTACAGTTTTCACTTATTTTTCGATCCAGTCGCGAATTTTCAATGAGGAAATCCCTCGAACTACAGCGGAACTGTCTCCTGATGAAAATTTCTAAGAAATGTACCAGAAGTTACAGCCAAAAATTCAATAGTGTTGATTATCAGTCGAGTTGAAATTTTATAAATACGTTGCAGCAAAAATTTAACACTTCTCTTTCAAATATTGTGACATTCATAATATTCCATGACTTATAAAAAAATCTGTAGACAAACTTTTCTGTCTAGTCACTAGAATTGCGCATGAATAATACCCGAAACAATGAGTGACCTTTCTTTCATTCAAAAAAGAGTTCATTCACCCCGATGCCATTTCTTCACAATCGTTGGCTTAGCGACACTCGCAAAATCATAAGATCTCACACTCCAGCGTATAATAATATTTCTCCTCATGACTTCGCGTTCTGTCAAAATGTTACAACAACTTTCTGTAAAAATTCACTCGGTGAAATTGCTAATCTAGGGTCACCGACGTTTTCAGCCGCAGAATGGATTTGGTCACAGACATGGGATAAAAAGAAAACCGTTACACCACTTGCTCGAGCTACGGACATGCGTGTCTATCCGTTTCAATCGTCCAAGTGCAAATGCTGCGGGGGATTGCGAAGAACTGAGAGCGATTATCAATGATGCAGGTCAATAAATTGAACTTTAATTGTTTCCTCATTTCAATGACCCTGAATTAATTTTATCCGAGACTGTCAGTGTTATCTGCGGTCAAATGAGGAGATGTTATTCTCTTGTGTCTGTGAGTCATGCCCAAACAAGTATTCATTGGTTTAGATTTCGTGAGTTCGATGGAGGATTTTCTTGACGAAAACTGTTTTTGGCAAAACTAAATAATTTCGAGGGGACAATTTTTTTTGGGGAAAAAATATTCCTTCCTCGTCAATGTATTCTTTTTATGGCATAAACCTATGGAGTTCTTTCAGATCAAATGATTGTCATACAATGGATTATATTTTTTCCTGCCAACAGTTCGAATTCTTCTAGGAATATTTCTGATGATCGCGACAAAAATTGAATTTTTGTGAAAGATATTAAATTTCCTTCTATCAAGTTGGTTAATTTCTCTCAAGTCAATCAACTGCACTCCATCAAATATTGCCAGGTGAAACAATTTTTTTTCGAGAAAGCGTCTCAATTTCAACAAATTTTTCTAGTAAGCCACTAAAAATTTATGTAAATGATGGAATTTTCCTATTCTGGAATTGTCGATTTTTTTAACGGAATATATCTATTTGGAAAAGCGTAAAAAAAGCTACGAAAATTTTCAATAGAATCGGTGGAAAACTAATAGAATTTTTAATAGATATTCAATGGAATTGTCCAGCGAAAATGCTAGTGCATTCTATGATTCTATAATTTTTTTCCGTACGTGGATTGAAGTGTAAACACCCCGATGGGTTTCGATGAACTGAAAGCGATCGCCGATGATGCGGGCAAACTTATTCAACTCCATGAAGCTTCTCCCCCCTTTAACAATCGGGAAAAATGATTTCGGGAATCCCTGTACCGATGAATATTCATGAGAAGAAGGTTGAGTGAGTCTTATTTACAGCCAGATAAGAAGATGTCACACTGCACGTCCGCGGTAATGTCCTGACGCTTTATGTTTACAGTAAATTCTCGCTAGTTATACATCGAATTTATTAAATTTATTAATTTATTGAATTTATCAATTTTGGACATGCGTCAAGTCAGTTGTAAATTTACGGGTTTCTGGCCATTTCCGACTCAATTGCCAGTAATTTTTTCTCTCGTCATTTATGCTGAAAAATCGTCTATCTAGATGTTACCTGACCGTCATTTTTGCACTCAGCCATTTTATTTTTCATGAATTTTGTTCAGAACCTTGAATAAAATTATGAATACGAAACGGAAATCGAAAATTTAGTGAATATTACCTTGGTATCGAATAAAAGATAAATAAATGAATAAATAAATAAATAATTTTTTTTTAGTACGCCAAAAAATCTGAAAAAAGCACCGACTCGGAAAATTTAAGTGATGTTATCGTCATTTTTCACAGGAGATTTAGATAAATACTACGGAACGCTTTGGAAAAATTGCATGACAGCTCCGTAAATTTTCTCCGAAAAGAAACGCAATTTTTGTTGAATATTTCACTCCGTGTGCCGACCCAAGCTCTCAAAAAAATGAGAGGAAATGAATAGTTTTATTTTCGAATAAAATTATTTGCACCTGTGTGTTTACGTACGGAGGAGCAAAGAAACCGATAAAAGACCGAGAGTGGGACACAGCGCTCGATCGTCGGGGTGGAGTTTAGGGGAAGACGCGGAACTAATGGGCGCGCAACTTACCAGAGTAATACTTATTCGGGGTTCCCCTGGGTAACTCGTTACATTAGTGGAGAAGTATAAAAAGAGCGCGAATCAAGTGCCAATCATCAGAAGTTGTTGAGTGTTCAATTCAATAAGCGGTAAGTGGAACCAATATTACATTAATACTCTCCAATTATTCTTTTACTTTGGATTATGTTCGTATTTCAACGAAATAATATAATTCAAACTGAATATGCAGGAAAAAATTTTATCGACAATCCTAGCAGTTTTCTCAAGAAATTCTATCGAATGTCTGTTGGAACTCTAGAGAATTCTATTGGAGTTCTGTTGGAATTCTATAAGAATGTATGAAATATAATACAAAACCTAGCGAATTCGTCAGAAATTTCTCTTCAATTTTCTATTAATTTTTAGCAGATTCTATTGAAAAATTCCGCAAATCATCTGCACGTTTTTTTTTCAATAGAAGTGTTCCATGAAGTTTTTGTCTGATTTTTTAAACGAAAAGAGGAGAAAATTTCAGTGAAAAAAAATTGAGAAAATACATGGCGGGGAATTCTCGTAGTAAATGTCTCAATTGAAAAAGTTTTATAAAAAAATGACATTCAGATTTTTATATAAAGTAGATTTTATTGGGGATTTTCTTTTAAAAAAACGCAGTTAAGCTGCTGAATTCGCCAACAAGAAGTTCAATGAAATTCTAATTTCTGGTTTTTTCTATGAAATTTTTTCGTACGCGAGAGAATAGCGCTAATGCCGTATTGGAATATCGAATAATCACCTGAGAATACCTCCCAAAGATAATCGATCTTTGAAGAATCTCCGTTCATGCTCCGAGCTCAAAACGCCATTATTTTCCGCAGGGCGGGTAGAGTTACTCCAGAATGCCGTTCGTCAAGAATTAATTCACACGATTGGATTTCAGGTTTCCAATTGCCGAGAGATAACATTGCAAACATGAAGGTGTTCGGTGTTGAAATATGGCTCGTCTGTGCGACAGCCTGCATGTGGTCGATTGTCCAATGTGATCCTGTACCACAGCCGTCATGGGTTCCACCACGACCTGGTCAACCAATTCCACGACCAGGCCTGCCCGGTCCAACATTTCCACGACCAGGTCAACCGGGTCCACCGATTCCGCGGCCGGGTCCAGGCTTCCCACACTTCCCACGCCTAGGGAATCCATTTGATGTATGATTTATGATTTGTTCAAATTTCAGTTTAAAATTTTTTGTGTTATATTGGTCTATTATTATGCAAAAAGTCTAAAATAGTATTCTGCGTCACACGGCGATAAAATATTTTATGTTACTCGCTCTCTCTCAAGAGACGTTTAAATTGACCGCGCTACCCCCACCCGATCGATACTTGGGACTTTGGTGCTCGTGTAGGCTGCGTGCGCAGAAATTTCATTTTTCAGTACTTTTTTCGCTATTATTAATTAACAATGCTCCTAGGCGACAATCTTTTTCACTCAAAAAATCATTGATCACATATTCTAAATGTGTTTAAAGTTTCATGACTTTGGCTGTATTTTTTCCTTGGGTTTTGCAGTTTTTTTGGTGACCTCCATAAGATCACGGGTTAAATGAGTTTTTCAAAAATTCATAATAAATTGACCATACTCCCCCGCAGCCTGAAACTTTGCACACGCCTTTTCCATTATTTAAAGAATATGTAAAAAAAAGAAAAAAATTGCTGTTTTTTTTCCAACCTTTCCAGCTCGCCCGATTATCCTTAATCCGGAGTTTTTGTTAACAGCACCGCTTCCGTCGCTCTCCACAAGGTTCAGTCCAAGGTGGCATCACTATTCCTGAACATGGACGTCCTCAGGCGAACGTAGATTACAAGCAAAGAGTATTGGACAATGGAAAGTCAACTCTGGATACATATGGAGGAGTTTCGACGAACGATGGCAGACACTTCCAGCCTCATGCTGGAGCTGCGTACGAGTACAGACCTCGTGACAATGTTGTGGTGAGGGGTCAGGGAAGTGTCCAAAAGGGACCCGGTGGCAGATTCGAACCCCAATTTGGCGTTGGAGTGGGCCTGGAATTCTAAACACGAAAGTTTAATCATGGAATCGTCTTATTACAAAATTTCATGGACTGTGTATCGCAAAATTTCGTTGATTTATTTATGAATGAAGAATCAGGTGAATACGATGGCCTGAGCTCAATTTGCGTGCCATCTTTGCATTTAACTTTATTTGCGGACGTGTTGTGCCGCTTCTTATATTTCTTTCTGTTATAATGTCCGATAGATAATATTGTATATTAGAAAAAATGAATAAAATTCCGTTCTTCTACAATAAATCATCTTCCATAACTCATTCTATTCAAATATTTTTGATAGAAATTCCTCGACTATATTTTTTAAAGGTTTTGCTTCATTTTTTTTTCAATGAAAAGAAAAAATACACGGTGGAAAAACTGAGAAAAGTCATGTGGAAGTGTCTCAAAATTGATCTGACGTATTTTTGACAAATATTCATTTACTTGAGAGAAGCATTTATTTTTAGAATAAATACCAATATATTTCTCAGTTATTCCCAGGTTTTTCCAGTTAATCCCCATTAGATTTTAATTATGTTAATTATATTGCTCAGCAAGATGATCATGTTAGTTATGACCTGTGTTCTGGAGATGAAAACCTTAATGAAATTTTTATCACCGGCGCTTCGTTAAGGAGTTAAATCGGAGGGGGGGGAGTGATACTATATATTTACCGGAGTTATTTGTCCTGAAACAATAATCCACCGCAGATCGCCCTTTTTTTCGAAAATTGATATCTCCACTCTCATTCAATATTGATGAATGGCATTGATTGAAATCGATTGGACATTCAATGCCATTATCCCTCCGTCTTATATGGGAAAGGGGATATGATCTCTCTATCGGGGAATAGCGTTTGATTGGCTGTCCTTTTTTGCTTGATAACTCATAAACAAATGGTCAGAGACAAAAATTTAATCAGAATTTTCGCCTCTAAATAAACCCTTTGAGCTATCCGCACGATAGGTCAGATCTATTTTGGGACGCCCTGTACATTCTGCCTGCAATATTTGTGGAGTTCCACAGATTGAACGTTTCCTGAAATGTTTTGGTATTTGTAATCCGCAGGGAATGAATTTATGGGTGTAATCAAATTCAGACAAAATAAGGGAAATCACTTTTTTAATTATATTTTACTGAAAAGAATTATTATTATTTCAAATAATTGATTTTTCAGTTTTATAATTATTACATTCCATTATTATTATTAACTGATGCGAGGAATTTCGTTGAAAATATCTCAAGAGGATAGACAAAAAACTAATGGAATTGTCGTTTTTTTACGGAATATTTTCATGCGTGTTCATCGTTCAAGAGCTCTACATGAAATTCTTTTGATATTCAATTTGATAATTCGAATGTCACCAACTCAAAGACTAATATATCATGAGAGTGGATATATATTTCAATTGATTCAAGAATGATTTTTCTATTTAAACATTTCTGAACAATTACAATTCAACAATGAGTGACTTCTAAATACCGCCAGGTATTCTGAAGATCTGAACTTATCAAAGGGGATTCCCCACGATGCGGCCAATTCGGAAAGCTGCAGGCCGTTGACTCAACGCGTCTGCGTTCCAATGCCACGGAGATATGACGTCGGGAATCCCTGAGCGATATGAACAGTGAGGAAGCTAAGAAAAGTTTTATCTGGGGTCATAAAAAGATGCGATTCTTTGTCTCGCACATGTGGAGATAATTATTCATTAGTTGACATTGAGTTTTACCAGTAGTTCAGGTCTTCCCCTGAAGCAACTTTTTTCAGTGTCGATGGAGAATAAGAAGCGACGAAATCCAACGTTTGTCATCAGAAATCGTTGAGTCTTCTATTCGACAACTTCACTGGTAAGTCAAACATTGAGATTTAATATTAAATTGGTGGCAACATCTGTTTGTCTCATGTACACTCGTTTACTGGAGTTCTGAAACGAAATACATAGGATGCAAGTTCAGATTGTTTCAGAACTTTAGTAAATTATTGTATTCTGTACGTTGGCTGCATCTGGGTTAATACCTAAAGCAATTTTTTGTATTTATTTTTTGTTATTGTTGTGCTGAGGAGAGGCTTGTGGAGGTAAAACAGTAATTGTAGCACCAATGAAATAAATTCTGTTCTATTGAATTGATATTGTGGATTCATATTTTCTAATAAAATAAAATGAAATTGATTCTAATGTATTTGAAGACAATGACCTTCCAGTAGATTTTTCTTTAAATAATGAGAAAACCTGTTATTCTTTTGAATTACTGAAGGATCAATTATTCCGTTTCTTGTATTTCTTCCACATCACTAACTCATTATTACCAAATTTTAGATTTCCAGTTACGGAAAATAAACATCGACAGCATGCAGGCATTTTGCGTTAAACTATGGCCACTGCTTTTGGCAGCTTGTTTGTGGTCAACCGTCCAGTGTGATCCCGAACCGCGACGTGATTTTTCACTTCCAAATGGAGCACCACCTCCATTCAATCCCCGGTCGAGGCCACCGCAGCCATGGGTTCCGAAGCCTTTTCCGGTATATTCACAAAATATTTTTTATTCATTCATTTCTGCTGCGATGGGTCGAAGACATGAGAAATTAATTTATTTTTTTGTCAACAGGTTCGATTCCGCCGGTCCCCCCAGGGCTCAGTCCAAGGTGGCGTCACCATCCCTGAGCACGGACGTCCTCAGCTCAACTTGGATTACAACCACAAGATAATTGATGATGGGAAATCAACATTGAATGGATTCGGTGGAGTTTCCAGCCCGGATCTGAGACACTTCCAGCCTCATGCCGGAGTCAATTACGAGTACAGGCCCAACAATGATTTCTTCGTGAGGGGTCAAGGAAGCGTGCAGCCGCTGCCAGGCGGACGATTCGACCCACAAATCGGGGTGGGAATGGGCTGGAGATTCCGTCGTTCCCCACAGGGCTCAGTCCAAGGAGGCGTCACCATTCCTGAGCACGGACATCCTCAGCTCAACCTGGATTACAACCAGAAGCTGATTGATAATGGAAAATCAACATTGAACGCTTTCGGTGGTGTTTCGACTCCAGATATGAAACACTTCCAGCCGCATGCTGGACTGAATTACGAGTACAAACCCAACAATGATTTCTTCGTGAGGGGTCAAGGAAGCGTGCAGCCGCTGCCAGGCGGACGATTCGACCCACAAATCGGGGTGGGAATGGGCTGGAGATTCCGTTGAAATCTAAATTTACATGTCTGATTATGATCTGAAATTATTCTGTCTGCCAAATTATTATTGACAATTTGTTATTTATGAATAAATTATTTATTCACAGTGTCTAATGACTTCTTGAAAAGAATTCAGCCGTGATAAATTCTTCCTTAATCCTCAACTTCTCCCAGCCACAACGGTCATCGCAGCAATTCAAATAAATTTATCCACAAGAAAGAACCGTAACAAACAATTCTTTCTGTGCCAACGTTTCTCACGAGTTCTTCATCAGAGCAACTTATTGAATATAAAACAAAATTACAAAAAAATATAATTAAACCTGTTATTTTTACATAGCCAGGAATGTAGATTATCACAATGATCACTATTACAAAAATAAAATGTCGCTTAATAATTTAAATAATTATCGCAGGATGTTAAGAACATTTAAAAACGCCAAAAAATAGCAGAACAACTGAGATTTGCTGTTGACAGTGTAAATCTCCTCCATAATCTATAACCAAACACCATCATCCATCAAATTTAATCGAAGACCAAGAATATTGCAAACCCATTATCTCCAATTCAATGAAACAATCTAACGAAAAAGATTTGAAATGCAGTGTCTAATGACGTTTTTCCTTGATTCCCTTCATCTCGATGGTCATTGTTAATTGTAAGGACTAGAGAAATAGCTCTTAATGATTTCTGCGATAATTAACATTTGAAATGGTTTTTGAAACGATGAAAAATTGTTTTCCAGATGAATTTCGTCATCAGCCAGTTCACAGCACTTGTCCTGGCTGCACTATTTCGAACTTCACTGAGGCCAGGAGTGGTTTCTCCAGTGGCTCGTCACACATTTGGTTTGATCGTTGGGCTCTGTATGGGCTACTTCTGTTTCGGCAAGTAAGCCAATCGTAGATACTGAGTACAAGTGGACACCACTTGACAAGTCCGATATTCGCACAGCTGAAAATAAAACTTCTTCTTGGCATTTTAATAACAAATTCTGAAATAATATAAAATTCGTTTGTATCCACTCGCACTCTGTGTAGAATCTTCTCAATAAGTTGATTAAATTCTTCACGAGACAATTCAATGAGCAATCAGCTGCTCGAAAATAAAAATTCTTGAATAACAAATCGAATTTTCTCAATCAAGTCACTTGTAAAATTGTGTAAAATGAGACGTTAAACGTGATATATTTGTTAATTATCCATTTCTTTCAAGAATACATGAAACAGAAAATAGAAGTTTTGATTCTCTCATGATCTAATTAAAATTTTTAAAAAGGGATACCCAATTTCATTCTACGGAGTCTAACGAATATTGAAAATAAAAATCTGAATCCTATGACAATTGCGATCCGCTAGACATTTTTACCATGAAAGACGTGGCGAGATGGGTTGAATTCTCCATGATTCCTAGTTTTTTATTTTAGATCTCCCATCATATATGAAGAGTAGAGATGCAAAAAATCGAATGATGGTCACAAATAACTTGCAACCAAATTGCTGCCAAATCATCTACATAGATGCATAATGACGGTCATAACTAATTTCTAATTTACGACGGTCATAAATTTAAATAAATGGATTAGAAATTACATGCATACACCCATTTTCTAAAAACATCATATCTTCACGTTTCATGGCATTCTACGTCACATCTAGCCAAAATTAGATCATCAAAATCGACGATTACAAAGCTCCCATTCAGAAAAAAAAAGTTGAATTTATACAGATGAAAAATGACTGTCATTTTTACTCGGCACATTGTGACGGTCTTAAACCGGGGAGGGGGGG